ACAGTACCGACCGCGGGCGTGGGCCCCGGTTACGTATTCACATTGCTATTGGCAGCGTGCGGCCACGGCACGGCACGGCCAGGCACGGCCAGGCACGGCGACGGGTACCAGGTCGTACTGTCGTACCGCGGCGCCCGACAAGTACCCTACCGCACGGTACGGTGCTGCGGGTATTGTCGCAACGGCGCGGCCAACGAGGTCATCTTGCTCTCGTTGTCGTTGTTGCTGCTGCTGCCGGTGTGCTTGTGGCGGGCGGGGCGAGGCCGTGGGAACCGATCCGAATTGACACACCCTTTCCTTTCACCTCGTCGTGCGAATAGCGATCCGCGATCGGCGGGGAAAAGGGGGGGAGGCGTGGTACACCGCGAGGCCCCGTTGCCGTTGACGAGTCCATTCATGCCGACGAGAGACTAGACCAGACCGCCGCGGCGCGCCGCTCTCCCGCCCCGGCGGCCCTCTCCGCTGCCCCCGCCCCCTCGCCCTGGCCCCGGAGACTTGAATTAGGGAGCAGCAGAAGGCCAAAGGCCCGGCGCCCCAAAATGGAAAGCGTCGTCGCCGACCGCCGGGGTCTCCGTCGTCGGGGAGCCTCGCAGCCTCGCGCCGCCGCCGTGCAAAACAATTGCATTATTTTCCCCGGCGCGGCGAGCGGCGCGCGGGACGCGAGGGCGGAGCGGAGGGCGACACGTCTGAGGTGCGAATCTCGCGCGCTTCGTTTCCATCGTCGGCGCGCCGAGGCGTCCCACGCACCGCCAACAAGGAGGCAGCCGGCGAGCCACAAATTTGCGTGCAATCGACAACAGTCATAGTCCGCGGCCGCCGCATCGAGGCAGCGGCCCGCGAAGGACTTCCCAGCCGGCCTGCCAGTGTGTGAGCGTGTGTGTGTGTGTGTGTGTGTGTGTGTGTGTGTGTGTATGCATGTGCATCCCAGACAATAACGATATCGCGCCGAGGATGCGCCGAGACGCAGCGGCAGCGGCTCACAGGCATTCGCGGGGTCTCTGACCTGAAGATGGGAGTGGCGGGGCGTGGCGGCCTCGTCCTGCAGCTTAGCGCGCACGCCGTGCCGTGCCGCGCCGCGCCGTGCAGCACTGCTGATGAAGGGTCAGACCTTCAGACCGGAGCGTGCGAGCGAGCCGCGCGGGGCGGGCTTGGCCGCCGGCCAATCTCTTTTTCTTTCCAGAGTTTTCTTTCGCTCGCTGCTCTCCGCGCCGCCTCTCGTGTTTTTCTTCGTGTTCCGCCTTATTTCTTGGCATTTCGTTGCCCGCCATCATCGGTTCGTGGTGTCTGTGTCTCCGCCGGGCCGGAGAGAGTCATGCATGCGGCGGCGCGGGGCCCTTGCCGCTTCCTTCGGCACACATTCGTTTCCGTGCGGCCTACAGTGCGGCGTGCCTGCAGGTTTATGCAAATGCGAGCCGAGTCGGGGAGTCGAGTCCGGCACCGCTACTTCCTGCTCGCGCGGCTCGCGCCACGCAGCCACGCACCCCTCGCTATCAGGATCGGCGAAGCCTCCTCTCGCGGAATGGCGCTGGCCCGAGATTGTTTGCTATGTTCCCTTCTTGAAAATACGTGGAATAAAACGAAACGCGTCGGGTGTTGCCGGGTAGATGCCGAAGCGTGCCGGCGACCGCGGACTAGTACAACCACTACACTGCCTCGGCCCCGGCCTGTCCCGGCTCCAGCGGCTCCAGCGGCGCCCCAAATGGACTGGACTTCCAGTGGACTTCCCCTTCCTGCCCGAGACGTGCGCGCCGTGCGCCGTGCGCGGTGCCTAGGCGGCGTGCGGCGCCGGCACCCCGCGAGGCAAGCCCAGCAAGCCCGGCAAGCCCGGCAGCCGGTCTACATTTTACATACATGGCCTTCGTTCCTTCGTTAGCAGGGTGCGGCGGTGCGGCGCGAAGCGGCTCCGCTTACTTCTCGGCCGCTCTGCCGCCTGTTCTCTCCCACGAGGGGCCGTTTTGAAAGCAGGCGACTTTGCTTCTTCCGGAAACGGACGTTTAAAAAGCCAGTTCGATTCGGAGTGTAGCCCGCCCCCTTCCCCCGTAGGTCGGTCGGGTGTTTGTCCTGTGTTCTGCGGTTTGATGATCCGGAACCCGACGCGACGCCAACGCCCCCTCGGGGGGTCCACAAAGGGCCTCCGCTGCCCCCACCTCTCCCGCCCCTCCCGTCGGAGGAGGGGAAAGGGGGACCACCGAATGTCTGATTCACGTCAGGAATACACCCGTTGGGCCCGACAGGCATGCAGGCAGGCATGCAGGCAGCCATGCGCGGCGCGCCGGCGACCAGGGCTAATGTCCTTCCAACGGTCGTAAACCGATGAGGAATGACCCCGAGGCTGGCCAGGCCGACGTGGTGGAGCCCGCCCCGCCGCAGGACAGGGGCTCTCGCGACGCGTCTGCGACTCGGAGACGCCGCTCCTCGCACCGGTGGCGGCTGCGGGCACGCGGAACGGGGGCCAGGGAAGGGTTGGCGGCAGTTGACGTGGGGCGCACAAATTGTAACGACTTGCAGTGACTTGAGCCTCAGTGGAGACGGTTCAAAATAAGCAGTCCCCCGCCCCTCGCACACACACTCACACTCACAGGCGCGCGCGAGCAGGGCGGTGTGTGGTGAGGCCGGTGTCGCGTTACGACCGGCCCGCGACCGCGAGGCGATATCCGTGGGACGCGAGTGGATATCGCACGCCGCGGCGCCGCGGCTGAAACGTGAAATGCAGCCCGACGCAAGACGCAAGACCGTCCCGGCCCGCGTCGGCCAAGTGGCTGCTGCCCTGCAGGAGCGGCTGCAGGAGCGACGGAATCCCAGCCCGCGGAAGGCACGGCGCGGTCCTTGACCGGCCGGCCGGGCAGCCTGGCGTCCTGGCGCACGTACAGCAGCTCCAGCTCGCGGCCGCGCCGTGCCGAGCCCGGCCAGGCGGAGGGCCGAAGCCAAGCCGGCCCAAGCAGCCAGGCTCCAGCGGCAAAGCGGCAAAGCTCCAGTAGACTCCAGGGACTTGGGCGGCGGCGGGCGGGGCGAGCTGGCGAACCCAACCCAACCCAGCTCCTGCAACGCCCTGCCCTCGGCATACCCGATGCATTCAACCCGGGATCCGAAAACGTCGGTGTGGCTTTCTCTTTCCGCCGCCGGCATCCAACGGGAACCGCCTCGGGCACTGCTTTGGCACGACGGGCCGCCGAGTGACGAGTCAGTGACGGGTCGGGGTTATGTCAACCGCTTCCGTCTCTCTCACACTCCCTGGCGGTCGTGGCGTCGAAAGCGACGCGGCATCACGACGGCGTCGGGTCCTCGACGTGGTGCGGCGTGGGAGCCGCGAAGACGCCCCTATGCCTGCTGCACACTGATTCTGTCGCGCTCACAGGGCGTCTCGTAGCGGTGCGAGAGAGAGACAAAACGACTCTTCGGAACCGCTCGGCTGCTGAGCCTGAGGGGGGTGTGATCCGACTGAGCCGACGGGAACGGTGCGGGTACCGCCGCCGCGGTCCCCCCGCGCCTCCACCACTCCGCCATGCAAGCCAAGCCGCATTCCACTGACCCACAGCCATGTCGGCATCGGCAGGCGCGGCTAGGTGGCCACACTGTTTTTCCGCACAAAGAAATGGCTGCATTCGGAAGGAATGCCGGGCCTGGTGCAGCCTGGTCGGGTGGAGGTTGCAGGAAACGCCGCGGTCGCGAAAGCGCGGTGCGCGGCGCGCATCCCGCGGCTCTTGCAAACACAAAACACAAAACTCGACGCCGAGCCCTTCCCCCTCGCGGATGGCCGGACGGCCTGGCCGATGTCGTGACTGTTCCGCGGGGCCGCCGGGCAGGGCAGGGCCGGCAGGGCTGGGGCTCTAGCCTCGCTGAGGCAGCGGGACGCGGCGGGACGCGGCGGGACCACAACAACTACTGCTGTGCCGTCAGATGATCGTCATTACCTCACGCATCACCGACCAGCCCGCCAGCCGCCGCCAGCCCGGCCTGCCCGGCCGACGAATCCTCGGAGAAAACAAAAGAAAACCACCACGAAAAGACGATTCTGGGCAAGCCGCAAGCCTCCAGAAAAATAAAGTTTACTCCCCAAGTTTATTTTTGAGCTTTGAGGACTGAGGAGGATCTTTGCGGCAGAGGCGGTGTCCTAATTCCGCCTGGAAGTGTTTCAATTTATCGTTCGGACTTCCCTCTCCTCTACGGGACTTCCGCGTCCTGGGCGGCGAGGGTGGCCGTGTGGCCGGGGGGCTCGGCTCCACTCTCGACCCGCGGCCACGCCACGCCACGCCGCGGCCCGGTTTCGTACCGGTCTAAAGAGAACGGCGAACCTTCCCTTCTCTCCGTGTCCCTCTCTCTCTCCCAAGCAGCCGGTTCTCGCCATCCCTTTTCCTCTCCGGAGCGATGACAGGAATGCACCTCGGCGGCCTGCCTGCCCGCCTGGACTGAGGCACGATACCGCGGCGTGGTTTTTGTTGTGGTGCCCGCCGTGGCCCCGCCGTGTGTGGGAACGTGAACGGGACGCGTGTACAGTGCACGGCGCGTACAGTGTAACCGAGCACACCCCGGGGCACACGGCGCACGGCGGGCCGAGGCGCGGGCCCGCCCGCCGTGCTGCGCGGCGGCCAGCCGGCGTCAAGGTACTCAACTCGCAGACGAGCTCTGCTCAGGCAACGCCGCCAGGCCGCCAGGCCACCGGGTACCCGGTCGAAAAAGGCCGCCACCGGTTCAGTTCGTCGGATCCGGGAGGCGGCCTCATCATTCATCGAATGCGCAGGGGAGGGAAGTCCAGGCTGTGCAAAGTGCGCTGCTGCGCACTGCTGCAGTCGGCGAAACTTGACCCCACCAGGATTTCGAATTGGCAGGCTGGCGCTGGCTCCGCTGCTCCGCTAAGCAGCTGCTAAGCCTCAGATAGCGGCACTGGGCCGCACTGGGCTAGCCGCCGGCAATCTGCTCCCGATAGCGCCTGCGACACTGGGACACCACACTGCAAACGCGCGGCGAAGAGTCGGAAGCGGCCTCGGCCCTTGTGTGCTTACCCATTTCTGACTTGTTGGCGTCCTCTTCATCCCTGCCGTTGATCCGCATCGTCGGCAGACGACGGCTTGGCCCAGCGGGATGCCCAATGAGCAGCGCGGGCAAGACGGGCACAGGGCTGCCGACGTTGCCGCTCCGCGTAGGCTCCACCAGGCTCCACAAGGCTCCGCGCACAAACCGGCCAAAGAGGCGACGGCCGCGGCAACGCCGTGCCGCCAGTCACTTGGGACTTGCAGCCACTCACACACTGGCACAATCACTTGGCGCTGCACGCTGCTCACTCAACACACGCGGCGAGACGGGCGACACTCGCGGGGCGGGACGTCGTCGCGACGCCTGGCCTGCCTCTGGCCTGCCTCTGGCCTGCCCGGCCGTCCGTCGACGCGGAGGCTGGCGGGGGCTTGACCGGAGGGGGCGTAGGGGCGGGTGGCGCGTCTGTCACGCCCTGATGGAAGTCCAAGAAGGCCAAGACGGCGGCGGCGTATTTTTATCCACGCACGCGCGTGCGAGCGCGTCGGCGGGGCGGCGGGCACGGCGACGTCTAGCGTCGCGGCGCTCGGCGGTGGGGAAGCGCGCTGTACAGGCTTCACGGGGACCAGGACCTGGCCGGGGATCGGCACGCTGGTGACTGGCGCGCGCTGCGCTGCGCTCTCCGCCCGTTCTCCCTTCTCCCACCGCACCGCCTCGGCCCGGCCACGCAGAGCGGGGCGGCGGCGGCGGTAGAGAAAGGCCCCCTCCACCGCCACGCCGGCGCCGCAGCCCCGCCGGCGGCCCTCCGGAGTACTCCGGATACCCCCACCCCCGCAGCGGCCGCAGCCCTCTTACTCCAGAGAGTGGACGCAGGTAGGCCCTAGCGCGGCCCGCGCGGCCCGTGTCCGTGTGGTCGGAAGAGAGAGGCCCTTCAGGAAGTCTACCAGGACCAGAAGCAACGCCAAGCCCGCCGCATTCCCTCCCCCACCCACCCACATGGCACCGGCCCGCACGCACACACAAGGCGTGTGCCAGTGCAAACACACACACACACTCACACCAACAAACAACCGGGTGCTTGCGTGATGAGGCCTCCCTCTTCGCACCTGCGTGGTCCTAGCAGTGCCCCCTCCCCCTTTTCTGTGAGCAGGTGCGCGCCGACGCACGCGACGGGGACGGGGGGCGACTAGGGGCGACGCGCCACGACGCCGGGCACTCGACGTACGACGACGGAAGCCCCCTTTTTTTTCGAAATCTTGTCGGCAGCAGCTGCGGGATTAAAACACACGTCGTGTGGCCTTACTTACGTGTGACAGAGGAGGAGAAAATCAAAGAGCCGCAGCAAGCGGGCCCTTGACAGTGTGACGTGACCCTGACGGCCGCGTCTCTAGGCAATTGATTTGTGGCCACCGTTATCTTATCTCGTCCCTTTATTCGATGTGATTGACAATTTCATGCAAGGAAGGACTTCGGCCTCCTTTCCCGTGCAGGCGGCCAAATGTCAGTATACGCTCTTCTTTACCTACTACCTCATATACACACATACACCGAGGCTCTGCCCCCGCCCCCCGGAGTGTGTGATGTGTTGACGGAAACGCGCGACAGTTTGTCGTTCGTTTCCCACGGCGGCGGTATGGTTCCAGCAGCAGTCCCCTGGAATCGCCTATCGCCTCCAGCGAACGCGCTCATGGCGGTGCTGGTGCTGAGCCTCCACCCCTCGCCATGCAAGTTGGAGGGCGTAAAAACTTTTGGCGGCACGATGCCTACACTGTAGGCCCAGCGTGGCAGTGACGACCAACATCAGTGTGTGGAAAAGAGGGGGAAAGGGGCTGAGTTGCCTCGGTGAAATTTCAAACGTTTCTCGGAAAATTACTTCAGAATTCGTTTTGTAGAGTCGAAATTGGGCGGTGCGGAGGCAAGTAGAAAACGGGGAGCACGCGCAGCCGCGCGCACGCATGCCAAATGAAGCAGCCCGCCGCTCCTCGGCTCCGTCGGGTACCGGCCACACCTTGACGGAAAACTTGTCCAACTTGATTAGGATCTTCACAATGTTCGGCCGGTCGGTTGGCGACCGCGTTAGATTGGCCGCGGCCGTGGCTCCACTGGCGGTCACCTCATTTTGGCCGGCGGCTCGCTAGGCCACGCTAGGCCACGCGTGTTCGGCCACCTGCGTGCGGTGCGGTGCTGCGCGGTCGGTGGCTGCGGCCGGACGCCATCTACGCCATCGACGCCATCTGCGGAGGTCATCACGCCAGCGGAGCGTCCAGTGCCCATTCGGAGCCCAGCCTCCACTCGCCCAGAGGGGAAAGCGCCGTGTCAAAGTCGTCAATCAGTGAATCAGTCGCTGGGCATGACCGCGGCCTCCGCGGCCAGCATGACCAGAAATCGGCATAATCGGCACCATGAACCGACCGGGGCATCTGGCGAGACGAGTCGCGGCGAATTGAGAAAAAAACATGAAGAGAGAAATGTTACTGTTGGTTGAGGAGAAAACAGAAGTGCTGCTCGGAGGAGGGACTCAGAAACTGCTGCGGGGATGATGAAAGTAAACGAGATGCACGCTTGCCATAACTTGACACCGATTCAGCATGTGTGTGAGTGTGTGACGCCGACGGCTGCGCCTTGGCCGCGCGGCACATCGCGTCGCCAGGGGAAAGCTGAGCCCCTAATGCCCATCAAGTGATTCTCCTGTCAGGATTTGACTGCGAATAAAATATTGCAGTCGTCGAAAGCGCCAGCTACCGTCGGGGAGCCTGGCCAAGAGTCAAGTCCGAGATAAGCCCCGTCACTCCGGCTAGCCCGAGGTCCAGGAATCGTCTTTGAATCGACGGATGACGTCGGTCGGTTTGTAGTCAATTTCCAGACCTTATGGGGGGTGACTCGACGCCGATGAAGATCATTTTCTGGCAGGGGAACAGGCGCCTCGCCTCGTCCTCGTCGTCGTCCACGTGCCCTTCGCATTGGGGGGTCGCGGCTGTCCTACAGCACGCCCTTCAGGCCTGCCAGGCCTGCCGCCAGGCCCTACGCGAGGTCGCAAAGGTCACAACACCCATCCACCTCGCACCTCGGCGTGCCGGCGTGCCGGTCACACGGGCGCCGCCAAGCCGCCAACTTCGCGCCTTCCAAGTTGGTTCGCGGCCTGGCTTCTCGCCTTCGTGCGGCCGCCCATTACCCCACGAAAATCCGGAAATCCCGGCCTGTCGTCGCGGTCCTCGTCATGAAAACGCCAGCGGCCCGTGCAGGCGGCGGCCGCCCCGCCGCGATGCCAGTTTATTTCGCATCGCAATAACGTTCTGCATGCCGATTCCGAGCGGCGCTTTCCGTCGCGCTGTCTCCCTCGCTCTCCTTGGGGCGTCCCGTGGGGGTGCGAGAGAGACAGCGCGACGGAGGCACTGTCCCGCATTGGGTTTGGCGCTACTTCCAGCCCTCTTGGGACTCCAGCAGCTCGCGCACGGCCTCCCGCACTTCGTGGGAGAACACGTTGAAGCCGTGTTCGCGCAGCAGCTTGGCGACGCGGTCCTCGATGGCGCGCTGTGCCCCGGACTCGGACCACTGCGAGCGGAGCTCCACCCGCTTCGCCGCGTCCAGCTGCGGCCAGAAGCACGGCGTTGTTAGCCAGCTGGCGCCAGCGCGGCCAGAAGCGAGAGCCGTCTGCGCCTCGCCGTATAGGCAGCCCATCGGGCACCGCCTCACCGGGTCCCAGTTGTTGCTGCGCAGGGCGGCGATGACCGCGGGCACCAGGCTGCACGACGGGAAGCCCTGCACCCAAACGGACAGCGTACAACGAGGACGACAGAAACACACCACCTGTGGCCTCAGAACCCGCAGACGACGCGGCTACGTACGAATATGGCGTCCAGGTCAAGCTGCCGCTCGTTCATCCGGTAGGGGTCACGGGGGTACACGACGCCCATCTTGTTCGGCGAGCTGAGCACGTTCAAGAAGTCCGCCACGTCGCCCAGGCCGTCCTCGTGCTGGCCGTAGGCCGCCACCATCATGTCCAGGGGCACGGGCTGCGGCAAGATCCATCATCGTCACGCCGACCCGACACGGGCCGCGGTACGGCCCGGCGCTTGGCTCCGCGCTCCGCCCCCACCTCCACGGCCAGGCAGTCCACGCCGCGGACGAAGCCCTCGGCGTCGACGAGCAGCCTGCAGAAGCGCTCGTCCCCCGGCTTCCCGGCCTGCAGGGGCCGCACCTCGGCCGGAAGCAGCGGGAAGGGGCCCGGGGCGCGCACCCTCAGGAAGTGGAGGACTCCTTGGCCTTGGCCGGGGCCCGGCGAGGGGGCGGGCAGCGCGCAGCCCAGCACCACGGCGGCCGTCAGCGTCGGCACCATCTCCGCGTAGTGCCAGTAGGGGCCCATCACGGCGCGCACGGCCTGCCCGATCTGCGGGACCGGCTGGTCGTAACTTACTCCAGGGACGCCGACGGCGAGGCCTCGCCACTCACCCCCTCGCTCTTGGTGGACACGATCCGCGGGTCGGCGGGCCGCAGAACGGTGCTGGGCGTCTGCGAGGACCTGGAGCTGGCCGTCGTGCTGCTGGTCGGCGAGCGCTCCAGGATGTGAGCGCGCGCCTTCAGCAGCGGGTCCCACAGCTGCTGCATCCGCACTGCCATCTGCGAGCATCATCATCACCCGCTGTTAGGCGCCCGCGAAATCTGACTGAATCTGACTAAATGTTGCAGGCGGCCGCTCCGAGTGTGTTGTGCTGACCTTGTAGCCGACCTCGAGGGCGCTGTAGTAGTGGTGGTCCATGTCGGCCGCGCCCAGCCTGCGCTGGTAGGTGGTGACGGTGCCGCCTGCCTGGATGAAGGGGTCGTTGGTGCGGCCCAGGCGGTCGATCACCAGCAGCCCGTCCATCACCAGCCCGCTGTCCACCAGCGCTGCCAACACCCGACCCAGTGCGTGCGCGGAAGGCCTCTTCCATCGGACGTTTTCTAGCAGATGCGCACTGTACCTGCGAAAGTGACCGGGTGGATGGACCTCTGCTGGAAGGCGAACAGGGCCAGGCAGGGGATGGACAGTGGGGCCATCTCGTCCAACGTTTCCTCGGAGTCCTGCATGGTAGGCGTGACAACAAACCGAAGCCAGTGAGGCTAGAGGGGCAGACCAGCCTCAGCTTTACCTTCTTCCTGACGAGGTCGTGAAGGCGCTTCAGGCTGGCCCCCTGCTTGGGCTTGAACACGACGTGGGTGGCGAAGGCCGTGTCACCGCGGTTGGCTTGGCCGACGCCGTCGACGCCGTCCTCGCGGCGCTGCAGCAGCCAGTCCGGCTCCCCGCGGATCCAGCCCTGCAGCTCGCACCCGCGACTCAGGCCCACCCCTGACGCCTCCAACGAGGCCAGCACCGCGGCCTCCACCTCCTCCTCCCCGAAGCAGGACGGCAGCCTGGGGCCCTCCTGAGCGGGCGAGTTGGGGTCCACGATGTGGAGGTCTTCGGCGGCCACGCCCCAGTGCAGCAGGCCGGCGGCGAAGCACAGCACCTCGGGGCGCTCCCACGGCCCGTACAGCACCACCTTCTCTGCAGCGCCGCGGGCCGCGCCAGTCGTTAGCTTGCCTCACTTCGCACTGTGATCTTACAGCGGACTACGCACCATCGCCGCCGAAGGTGCTGTTGGCGGCCGGGTGCAGGAAGGCGAGCGCCTCGCGGACGTCGACGTCCCCGTTGATGAGGAACACGTTGGCGGGCGCCTCGTCCGTCTCGCCGGTCCCTCCCTGACCAGGGTGCACACTGTAAGCGGGTCCGGCGGTCGCCTGTGCCCCCTGGTCGGCGACGTCGTTCTGCGATGCGAAAAAGTGTCGGGCCTGCTGTCCTAGGAACGTCGTTCGAGGCCGTCGGCAAAGACTGACCACCGTCTCCGCCGCCGAGCTGGACATGTCCTCCGAGGAGGCCTCCTCCTCCACGGGGCCATCGTCGTCCTCGCGCGGCGTCATCATGCGCACCGATGCGGGCTCCGCCGCCCTGCAGACAAGGCTCTGGGGTTTGCCTCCCGGTGCGCGGCTGCGCGCGATGTTTGACCTGGTTTCCGCAGGCGCCTCACCCTATGGAGGCAGGCCAACCCTTGCCGGTCGGGTAGTGCTTGCAGGGCAAGTCCTCCTCAAGGTCGAGCTTCGGCAGGCAGAACTGCTGGCCGCAGAACAGGAACAGGTAGTCGTAGGGCAGCGCGGTCTTGCCGTCCACCTCCACGATCCTCTCGGCCCTGTCAAAACATTTGGCCTAAATGACATGACGTGCTTGGGGGGGGCCGCGCAAGGATTCGAAGCCAGTCCACTGACCTGTGGATCTTGGTGACCATCCCCGTGACCACGTTGACCCAGGCCCCGAGCTGCAGCCGCGCCAACTGGCGGTAGTCGTACCGGCCGCGGTGCGGCAGGAAGCGGTCTGCCAGCGGCCCGAGGTCCGTCTCGCCGCGCAGCCCGTGCGCCGACACGAGGGTCAGGTTGTTGTAGCGCACCTCCGGCGCGCTGCAGCGGTGAGAGCGAGATGAAGCCGGCGCGGATGACGTTCAGAGCAACGCTGTGGCTTGCCATAGTGACGCCTAAGGGAGAGTGGGGTAATTCCGGACACGGGGTAATTCCGGACACTTCGATTTTCACTGGGTTTGAGTGAAGATAACTCAAAAGCCCGCCTAACAGAGGAAGATAATCAGTTAAAAATGATAATTCCAAATCGCCAAGGTAGGAGGTCAAACCGTTTGGCTGTGGTCGCTTCACGAATTTTGAGTACCATCAAAAATAGGCAAAAGCTGCATCTTTCCCCCGTATTTCCATGTACTTATCGTACCTTACCATCAAGTTCAGTCCCATGACTAAAATTCTATCATATTATATGGTCTTCGGACTTTACTTTGGCGTTTCGGGAGTGCTCGTATGGCTCGCCGTTTTCTTACAATTGAACATCAAAGGTTTTCACTACCTGTGGGGTAAATCCGGACAAGAAGTGTTATTTTCTTCAATTTCCCGCATTATATTAAGGTAGTGGGTTCAAAATTGTGGACATGCATCCCCACCGTTAGGAAGGATAAAGAAAGAACGAAAAATAGTATTGCACCTATGTTTAAGAGCTTTACTCAAGACAGTGTTGTCAATTTAGGGGTTTTGATAGAAACTATTCCTTATAATATGCTTTGAGTAATAATCAAACACTTCGCAGCAAACAGTTCGCAGCAAATGTCCTTGTACGCCTTCTAAAAGCATGCCTGTCATCAAAACAAGCGAAAGTAAGCTCGAGTAGTGTCAAATTTTAAGGTCGTCCGGAATTGCCCCATAGGTCGTCCGGAATTACCCCAGGCTGGGGCAATTCCGGACACGTGCAGGGCTTTTGTTAGGCGCCTATATCTCCCTAACCGTTGCTGAGATTTGGCTTTCATGTATATCATTGTGAAGGTAAAGGTCCATACTTTACTCTCCTGTAATAACATTTGACCCAAGAAGCATATTCAAGCTCAAAGACCGAAAAGAAAAAAAGCGTCCGGAATTACCCCACTCTCCCTTACCTAAACACCAGCGTCTCCAGGAACGACAGCGCCGTGTCCGAGGCCCCGACCACCACCACCCTCACGTTGACGGTGGCCTTGGGCAAGGCGACCAGCCTCGGCGTCGAGAGGAACAACGCGTAGGGAGGCTCCCTCCTATCGGACGCCGACAACGGTTCCTACAAGGCGTTTTCAAGTCTCAGCCGATGGAACTCTTTCCGCGAGCACTTCCATGAACTCACCCCCTCCTCGAGCTGCTCGACGACCACTTGGTGGAGTCCGTTGGGCGGCGGTCGCGGCGCGACGGGCATCAGCTCGTCCAGGATGGAGGGGACCGCAAGGCACGGCAGCGTCGTCGGCTGCTCTGCCGCGGCGGGGGCCTGCTTGTGCAGGAACAGGGGACACGCCTGCCTAGAACCAGCAGGCAGCAGGCGTGGGTTCGAATACCGCACAAGCCTGGCCTTTTCTCCTCCCTTTCTCGCGCCCCGCCCCTCCCCTCACCCGGCGCGGGCGTCCGCCACGTCCGCGTCCTTGGCGGCCTTGTCGTCGGCGCGCCACAGGTCCGCGCACGGGTACAGCGTGTAGTACAGGAGGGTCTTGGCGCTGAGGCGGTGCAGCTCGCGCAGGAAGAGCCCGGCGCGCTGCTGGAACACGGGGCTCAGCAGGCAGACGCGCAGGCCGCCGTGGTCGGCCTCCCCCAGCAGGGACACGTCCGCGAACCGCCCCACCGTGTAGTGGCACGCCATGTACTCCCAGTCGTCCTCATCGCTGTAAACCACAACAACGGAGGGGTTTTTCAACATCTCGACGTCTGCAGCAAGCCCCGGGCGTGCCGCGACGGCCGCGACGCTACCTGATGACGGCCAGCCCCACGACCTGGTCCTGCCAGCAGGCGACGTAGGCCTTGAGCCAGCCGCTGTGGTCCTCCTCCACGCCGAGGGCGGCCTGCACCTCGCGCAGCACGAGCCCCAGGCTGCGCTTGAGCGTGCGGATGAGCTGCAGCACGTCCTGCAGGTCGGCGGGCACGGCCTCGCGCACCTCCAGCTCCCTGCGGGCAGCAGCCAGGCCTTGGGGGACGCGCCCAGCACGCCGAGGCTCTACTTGACCGTGGTGGCGACAGCTACCCGATACCCGAGCACGGCGGAGCGGTGCGCCACGTACAGCTCCTGGTGGAAGTGTCTCCGCTCGCGCGGGGCCACTCGCTGCGCCACCACCAAGACCACCATGACGTCAAGAGCAGCGGGGAAGTGAAAACACTCCAGGGCGTTTGCGGGGAACTGACCACGAAGTTGTCGAGCAGCGGGAAGGTGGGGAAGGCGTGCGGGACGGCCAGCGTGCAGTAGTCCAGCCCGGAGAAGATGCGGAACGCCTCGGCCAGGAAGTCCAGCGCGAGCCTCTCGTCGAAGAGCTGGTCGATGACGAACAGCTCGACGAGGAACGCGTTGGCCGGCCCCCGGAACTCGGGCAGCAGCTCGATGACGCCCTTGTTGGCGACCATCATGTCGGAGCGCGTCCGGACGCGGACCTCTGCGGGGAAAGGGGAAACGGCCGAGGTTGCGTTGGCCATTTGCAGTGTACTGCAAAGCGCCGACGATGGGACTCTGCCTTACTTTTCTTTCGATGGAACCTGAAGATGCGGCCGTCGTCCGAGTCCATGGATTCCTACAAGAACTTTGAGTAAAGCGCCCGGCCCGGCCACGCGGCCACCGGCCACCCGGAGCCCTACGTGCGCGACGGTAAGCTGCCGATGGCAAGCTCACCGTGTCCAGGGAGGAGGACTCGGTGCCCGCCTGCACGTTGGCCCAGGTCACGTCGGCCAGCCTGTAGGGGTCCTCGGGCTCCAGGCGCTCCTCCTCGGTGAGGCTGATGGCGGACAAGTAGTGCTCGGCGCCCGTCCAGCGGCGCCGCTTGCGCTCCAGGGCCTCTTCCTTGAGGCGCGCGGCGCGTGCCGCCAGCCCCTCGACGCGCCGGGGCCCCGAGGTGGACGTCCCGGAGGACGAGTCCTCCTCCAGCGTGGCGGGCTCGTCCGACTCGTCCCTGTCCGACCAGAAAGGGGGTGGCAGGGGCTTCCTCGAGATGGACTCACCGGTGCACCCCGGGCCGGCGGGCCGCCGCACTGCTGCACTCACGCGGCCTGCTGCGCGGTGTGCAGTGCCTCCGCCATCTCGGGCCGCGGCTTCACCCAGCCGGCCAGGTTGAGCACGTCGCGCGTGTGCGGCTGCCGCAGCCCGTAGAACGGCAGCAGCTGGAAGTGCGCGTTGAGCAGCGGCAGGTTCACGTTCGAGTCCAGCACCATGACGCCGATGACGGGCACGCGCATCTCCCAGGCCTGCTTCACTTTGGTCTGGCGCTGGAGGGGAAGGGCAGAAGCTCCAAGCTGGCCCACGACTTTGACAAGAGAGTTGGACGCAGACCGGCCGCTCGGCCCTCACCTTGGGCCCCTCCGCCACGATGATCTGCCGCGACTCCGGGTTGGAGATGAGCTCCGCGATGTTGAAGTCCCCGTACAGCTGGCGCAGGCGGTAGGCCTTCTGGTCGAAGATGCGCAGCAGGTCGTCGTTGTCCTCACAGCTGCGGGACGAATGTGGCCGACGTCACTCTCGGCACGTAGCTCTGTCTCTCTCGCACCAACGCGCGACGCCCCGTGAGTGCGAGAGAGACAGAGCGACGCGAGGCGCGATGCGTACTTGGTCTTACACCGCGGGGCGCAGGCGCAGCTTCCTCACGAAGAACTCCCTGCGGCAGATGAGGAGGCTCTGCAGGTTGGTGGCCGTCTTGAAGCCTTTGGCGAGCTCCTCGTCGAACAGGCTCCACAGCACGTCGTCTACAACAGTTCCCCTTTACACCCGACTCAACGTGGCACCGGCCGTCACGAGGGACACTGCTCACTCTTGGGCGTCTTGGCGGGCACCACGAGCACCAGCTGCTCCAGGGCGGGCAGCGTGACGAACACGGAGTGCAGCAGGAGGCGCGCGCACGTGAGCGCGTAGCGGTCGTGCCAGAGCAGCAGGCGGACGTGCATGGTGCGCGCGGGGCTGAGCTGCAGCTCGTACAGCGGGTTGAGCCACTCGGGGCTGGCGGAGGGGTGCACGCCGGGGCTGGGCGGCCAGTTGGACAGGCACAAGCACGCCACCAGCTCCTCCCTGACGTTCAGCTGCGACAGCGACAGCACGCCGCGCTCCCTGCGACCAGACAGAGACAGGCTATCGCGAAAGACAGAGCGACAAAACGAATTTTCTCCGATTGGCTGGCGCTGGGCCGCCTCGCCGCTTACAGCATTGAAGGGATGTCCTCCACCTCCCCGAAGATGGACATGACGTCCGTGTTGGCCAGCTCCAGGATGCGGGGCAAGTCACAGGGCTCGGTCGGTCGCCAGTACGCTATGGGGGGTTCCTCTCCGACTTCCTGTGCAGGGCGAAGCGCGAAGCCGCCAAGTTGAGTTTGCGGACCGTGCTCGCGTTTGCTGTCGCAGCAGGCCGCCGTCGGGTACCTGCGACGGCGAGTACGAGCCGCTGCCCCGCGAGCTGTGCACCGGCGTGGACAACACCGACGCCCTCGCCCTCGCCGCGCCTCCCTGAGCCGCCACCGGCCTGCCACCATGCTGGTCTGCGGCAATGGCGCGGAAGCGGTGCTGCAGCTCTCTCTCTCGCACCCACGGCACGCCCCATGAGTGCGAGAGAGACGGCGAGCGACGACAGCACTGTTTGGAATCGACAGGGACTCGGGCTCTACGCACCCGCGGCCGGCGGAGCTGCTCTGCCTGGCGCCCCAACGCGGACGCGGGATGTGCCCGACGGATACCCCGACGGCCGCGGGGCGTTGGCGGCGTTGGCGGTGACGCTGGGCGCCGCGCTGGGGGCCGAGGCCGAAGGGGCCGACCGTGGCGCTGGGGGCACTCGGCTGTCGGCGTCGGCCAGGCTCGGCGCGCTGGACTTCCCTTGTCGCGCTGGCGTCCCCGAACCGGAGGTGGACATGGCGACAGGGGCCCGCAGGGGCCCTGCTAAAATATACACCTCAAGTATTCTTGTTTACGTCGCTGGCCGGGCGTCTAAGTGGCCCAACTGTCACCAACCTGTGGTAAATATCAGGTTTCGTTCATAAAAGTGAAACGAATCTGCTATTGAGGGACACGCTTATTCTTGGAGTGAGATGTAGTCTCCGTATTTCTGAATATAAAGGCAAACCGTGACACAGTTTCGTTGAATAAAGTAAGGTTGGCCAGATATTGAATTTCTGTTTCGAGAGACTTTCAAACATAAACCACACTTGCTGCTCGTTTGTCTTCCTGCTTCTTTTCTTTTCTTAACCCCTTTATCTTCATGGTGACCAAAATTGACCACACTTTCAGCAGGGCGCCGGCGTCGTCACAAGCACGAGAACGAACCCAACTTTTTGTTTGGAATTTGGCTTGGCAAATGAAATTGTAGACAGACAATCTGTTATTGCTTTATGTAATATCCTCCAGACACTCTGAGTCTTTTGGTCCTTCAAGCTTAAATATAAAACAGAAACAACACCTTTTTAGCCTTCGGCCGTCCTAACCTAATCTAGGAGTGAGTCGCCTAACCCTACCGCCTATCGTCTTCCCCCTCTAACTTTTTATCACGCCTGTGTCCATTAGTCGGAAATTTACTACGTCTGTCCTTAAAGTCTTCCCTACAGCTTGCAGCTCATTAAGTCGTACGGAAGCGATCTAATTCCAATTTAAAGAGCAAGATGTGCTCGAATGAACTAAACGAACAGAGGAAACGAAAGGGTTAGTATGGCAGTTTCCCACGCATGAGGAGATACCGTTCAACCTCCTACGTCTTCCAAAGGACCTAAGAGGACATAAGTTTGAACCTCGTGTAGTAGGATGTAAACAGAAGTTTTGACCAATCAGCTGCGAGGTACAGACCAGTCGTGTCTACCAACCTGCTGCGTTAACAATTCAACATCATGGTTTCCTGTAGTTATCAGACAGCGCACTAAGAAGTTTGTTATAGTTCATTATCCATCAAGCAATTATTTCAAAGCTTTCAGTCAAAATCAACGTTTTTCAAAGGTCACTCTTCATTGTCTTTAAAAGTATTTGCAGTTCAAGCCAGGCCTACCACAGGAAATAATTTTCTGCTACCACAATATTCCTTGTATTTTGTCAGCATATTTCGATGAAAGGCGCGAAATAATTCACAATTTTCACATTCTTAAATTTACCTGGGGTTTTTCGCTATCAAACAAGCCCTTGCACATCCATAGTTTTTTGGGGAACAGAATTTTTCACTGAATGAAGTCAAGCAAGAATGAACTATGACGTCATTTTGCAGTGTTTATTTTGTTGTCATGTCTGTGCAGGGACTCTTTTGACGGCTTTTGGTTTTGTGAAAAAATACGGTTCGATACCTTCGGAATGAGCTGTAATTGGCAAGAATAGTCCACTTTCATGGTGAGTCGCCTCCTCACGCTTAAATTCGTATGCTTATAGTAGTCCTTCGAACGTTTTTCCATTATTCGTGGTACTGCTGTAGGCCTATCAGACAAGGTCATAAGAATCGTTATTTAATCGTTTCATCGATCAAAAGCCTTGTTCTTTTGGGGGTATTTATGAACCCAGCCTTGAAATAAGCGTTTTTTAACTATGGTTCTTATAGATATGTCCGTTTCTTCCCGAAGGTAATTGGGCTTTGGATACAAATGATCTCGGTGCGTTATTCTGCTACCGCTGGGCCCGGTTGTTTGTTTTTCCTGTAATTGTTTAGCTTCCTCAAGATTCATCTTAAACCCACTTGGTCTATTCCATTTCTTATTCTTTATCTTTTATCTTGAATCCTAAATGTTGGTCCGTGTGATATTTTTCGCCTTTTTCCTGCGGTAAACATTTCCACAACAAAGGACTCCCGCAAAGCATCGGTCGGGAACCCGGCTGTCTGACACCTAGGAAGAGCGACCGCCCACCGAACCAAATACTTCAACCTTTTATCTTTTTTGGATTCGTGTTGAACGATTTCAGTGGTGACTTTCTGGGTTTCTTACTAACTTGATTTTATGAGCTCCCTTAATTCCAAGAGGATAATAAGTAGAATGTACAAAAAAAGAAAATGGCTGTAAGTTTTTTTTTTAGAGTAGGTGCTTTGTTTATGTCTACCCTCAGTCTAGTGGTGTTTTTTTGGTGCTGCTGTGGTTATGAATTATTATTACTCATTGTATTGTTATTCACTCCTTCATCCATGACCCATTCAAAAATTACCTTGGTATCTCAAAATAATGCTTGAAAGAACAAACAAAATGCCATCAAATTTTGAAGTTAACATTAGCTTTGTGCAAGAAATATTATCAAAATAATATCGAGGAGTGTAAGCCTTGTTATCCACCAACCTATTCCTGTAAATTTTCTGTTTGGTTTGACAAAATATTCTGAATTAGCAAATTCTTTAACTTGTTTCAGGATAAAATGAAGATGCAGAACTGTTAGGTCCTATTCTTCTGGAAAAGACTCCTAAGCACTACACCATTATGTATCGTGAACATCTAGCTGCTGTCTCAGAATGGTTCGAAACCTTGTCAGAATGCGAGCAAATTGTTGCTCTGTATTCCTTGTTGAAAAGATTGGCTCCTGCTCAAGCCCGGTTCCTTACATTGGCAATGGACCAGTCATTGGAAAATTGTGTTGAACTTCAACTCGCAGAGCAACAGGCAAATAATCCAGGTATGTACATTTTTGTCATTAATGAATTTTTAAGCATTCATGTGGTGTAATGTAACCCTTTTGAACCAAAATTTGTCCTACAGGGTTCGTCAGCAGCCTTCTAACAGAAAGTGCTGAGACTGCAATGTCTCAGCTTCTGCAACACCTTCCTTTGCTGCGGCCAGGAAACAATGAAGCTAGGTCACGATACATAGCGGTTATCCCTCGTGTTTTGAGTCATGCGACTGGAACAGGTTCACATCTGGAAGAAGCCAGACAGCTTCTCTCTTATTCCCTCATTCATCCAGCTCTTTCCAATGATGATAAAAGGTATATTTGTTTTTTGTCTTCTATCCTATCTTGTCAAAACTTTGCCCAAAAAAGTAACTAATTTTCTTTGACCCTTCAAATGCAGAACCCTAAATCCGTGGCTTAAGATGATGGAAGAACGCATCACTAATGGAGGTACAGGTGTGAATACTCCTTCCATCACTGCTGACTCCTCTCCAGTAAGTTTCCCCATTATACCCAATTTATCAGTTGTTTACTATAAATCTTTGTTTCCTTTCATGGTGAAATAAAATTTAAATTGACCAATAGTAATTGTGATCAAACTTTTTTCAGACTCAGCAGCCACCACAGCAAGGACCACAGGCATCTCAGCAAGGGCAGCAACAACGCCCTGGATTGACTATTTCAAACAATGGGCATTCTCACTTACAATTCCAACCAAACTCTCAGCCTCAAGGTTATTTCAACTTAGAAATACTTATTTCATCAACATCTAAGGTCTGTCTGCTAAGCTTTTTTTAACCTCTCTTATTTTTTTTTCCTATTTAAGGAGGAGTTGGTAACTTTACAAATGGTAGCCAACCAAGAGTACGCCGTAGCAACAGCCTCACACCACCAGTGAGCATCGCTCACAGTGTTGAATTGTGGAGCTCGCAGGTAATATCTATTTCTCTTCATCTGTTAATCCTCTTCATTTTTTTTTCTCCAAACAATAAAATACCATCAATTATCCTTTTCAGGATGATCTCTCTGGCCGCCAAAAAGCTCGTAGTTTCTCTTTGTCATCTGAGTCAGGCCCACCACTTTCCCCACAAAGCTCTCAAGCCTCATCAGGCAGTGGCTCTGAATCACATTTGGATGACCTCAGACTGCAGTTCAGCAGTGACAACTGTGGTATGCGTGGTAAGCAATCCTAATTTTGTGTCTTGCTAAATGCTTAAAGCTTCTTTAAGTGTTAATTTCTGCTAAACTTCTTTTTTTTATAAACTATTTTTTCAGATATACCATCATGGTTGAAGTCTTTGCGCTTACACAAGTATGCATGGTTATTTGCTCAACTAAGTTATGATGAGATGTTAAACCTCACTGAAGAGAAGCTTGCAACAATGGGTGTTACTAAAGGTGCAAGACACAAGATTGTACTAAGTGTTCGTAAACTTCGTGAACGCTACCACACTCTATGCCAGTTAGAGAGAGATGTTGTGGCTGGAGCTAGTTTATCTCAAGCAATGGATGATTTGAGAGCAGTTTTATGCTCACCAATCAAAGCGATTGATGAAAAGGACAAAGATTCCACTGTTGAAGATATTCCAGAACAGTTCACCAAGGTTATGGGGAAAGGTATAGCCACTTTTCGCCTGTTTTATTAAAGTGAATTTGGAGTTTTTGAGATACCACAATAACTGGTAATATTTTGATCTTTTTCTTATCTTATCTTATCTTCCATTTATAGTGTGTACTCAGCTGCTTGTATCAGGACGTGCAGAAGAAAAGCTATTGAGCGACTTTGTATGGCTTCTCGACCGATGCCTACAGCATGAGGCCTTCAGTGCCATCCACAAACAGCGTCTTGGTTGTTGGAAATTGCAGCTTCAACATGTGTGGCGTCCATCTCCACAGCGTCACTTGCACAATAGATACAAGTAAACATTGCTTTCCTTCATTCTTGTGGCTATGACTTTTCATGCTTACTATTATTTTATTATATCTATTGTTTTTATTATTATATTTTTCAGGTGGCATAATCCTCACTCACAGTCATTTTCAGTGGGTTCACACCCTGCAGTAAGTGCACGTTTCCAGGGTATCATTGGCCAGGGCTGTCCGTCCTCTCAAACTCAGCCTTCCCAATTACAACAGCAGCAGCAGCAGCAACAGCAGCAACAACAGCAGCAGCAACAACAACAGCAGCAGCAGCAACAGCAGACTGCACAACAACGCGCAGCAACATTTGCCAGTCTCTTCCAAAGTTTGGCACCTTCGCAACAACAACATCGAAACAGTCTTGCTGTTATTGGCAGCCCTCAACTTGGAGGAATCTCTGAATTCATGGCCAAGCGTCCCAGTCTTCAAGATCCACTTTTGATGGAGGTGAGTAGTAAGTTGCTGGAATTGCAATTTATGTTTTTCATTGCCTTTCGCTCATGCTCTGTTTCCATTGACTTTGTTTCAGCCTCTTGAGGGGCACTCTCAGCTGACCAGAACACGTTCTGCTCCCCACAAACCAAGTCAACAGTTAGGCTCTCCAGACACCACTCTTCCACCAATAAGCCTTCCATCAGCACTGCCACCCAACAGCAATGATTATGATCCCATCAATTCTCGTCTGGAGTCTCTGTGTCTTAGTATGACAGAGCATGCATTGGGTACATCTTTGGAGCTTTAAGTGGGTAAGTGTTTACACCATTAATTTGATTGGGCCATTTTCTGTTAGGACTAAAATTTGTGATTTCATTAAGTCATTTTTCTTTCACAGAACTCCATAATCAATAATCAAATGGACTGAGGGAGGTAAAGGTCAAAGTTAAAATTTAAATTTGGAGGTGACAAAAAAATTAGGAACGAAGAGACTGAGACAGCCGCAAGACTGTGCTGCATTACGCTGTCTTATAGTGAGTCAAACTGTAGCATTTCATTTTCAATCCTTTTAATATTTAGATAATCTTTGATACTAGACCTTATGTTGTAATGTTCCAAATGTCATGATTTGTGAACAACAGAACTGAGATGATTTGTTACTATATGTCGTCTGAGAGTTGAGAATCCATTCTGCCATGAACATATGTAAAAACTACTTTATTGACAATTCATATGTTTTGTATGTTGTGTATATAAATACAACACCAATAGTGACGTGTGTGCGCGTGTGCATGTATTCTTCACACCTCTGATTAGTAATCTATTTTAAGATGCCTATTCTTGTGTGGCTACTTGGCTAATCTCTAAGCACATTGCTTTGCTGTAAAGCAGTTCTATGTGACTGTCCTTCTTTGTGTTTACATTTAAGGAATCCATACTGTATGAAAATTTAAGGTTTTAAAGTAGAATGGTCTGATTTGTGTAGTTAATTTGCACTTTTAAAATATGACAAATTAATTAAGTGTAGCTCTTTTTTCTTTGGTTTTTTACAAGAAAGTAGATTACTTTGCTAATGAAAACTTTGAACTGCCACATTGCTTGGTGTCTTCTGTTTCTTTCTCTCAGACTTCATAACTGAACTGACTGACTATTTGTCTGGTGTACATGGTTTGTCTGGGCGTTCAATCATGCATGATCTATATTGTATAAATAATTACAAATTGGTCTATTTAAATAGAAGAAGTACGCAGGTCGGAAAATTCATACCAGATCTCTGTTTTTAGTTTAAAACACATTATTATGTGATGTGATGACAGAATGTATGTAAGTAGTCATATCTCCTGACTGTCTCACTAGCAATATTTTAAAGATGTATGTTAAGAATTTCCAAAAGAGAGGAAACAGATTGTAGAGCCTTTTATTATCTTTATTATGATTATTTCTATTATTACCTGAATCAGTTCACCTATCCCAGTTGTCCAATCTTAAATCTAATTGTTTTCTTAAACTGGGAGTGAATTGTGCATGGATGTACTGTATGCATAAGGAGAGCAGCTTGTTGTCTCTGACTGTTTCATTTTAAACTTTGTACAATCGTGTGATGCCTGAATTTATGTGTGGTTGTGTGTGTCTATGTATGAAAGAGTGTATGTGAGAGGGATGTAATGCATTGAAATAAATGTATGTGTGATTGTTTTCATATATAAGTACTTAAACAAATTCAAGCTAAATTTCTGTACTCAAGCGCAACCAATTGTGTTCTTAAATATTTTCTCAAACAAAAAAAAAACAAAAAAAAAAAACACAACACGACAATGTGATTTTTAATTTTACATCGCTTATGTTTCTGCCCCCTTCTGTTTCTTGTAATCCTCGACAGAGATGTTGCTGTTTGAGCTGTTGTCTTAAAAGTACTTTTTGTTTGTTTCTGTTATGTTGAAGTACTCTTCCTATGGCGACTGTGGAGCCAAGTAGATAAATCTATGTTGATCAAATTCACTTTTTTCTTCCTGAAGAAACTAGTATTTATCAGCTAATAGGTTAGGCTGTGCCTGCCAGTGTTTTATTTATTTATTATTTATGACCTGCACGCGACTGGACTTCAGCTTTTAATTGTGATGTTTCTGCCCTTGTATAGCTTTCAATGGTTAGGAATGCTGAAGGTGTAAGAATATGAGTGTAACTTACCACAAAGTTATTTTATTTGTTTGTTTCCTTTTGTCTTATTTTGCTGTACTTGTGAGAACTGATGGAGTTTATTAACTACACACTGTGTCACCATTCTTCTAGGGCTGAATTAATTTGCTTTAAATTTTAGGTGACCTAAGTTGACTGTGCTTAGGCACTAAAATCATTCTGATTATTAATTAAAATTCCATCCATTTAATTATCACTAGTCAAGTAACTGGGGTACACCTTGGTTCTTAAAGAATTGAATGATTGATAGCTATGGAGTGGGAATATTCTCCCTCCCCTTTTTTTGCCTGTTTATTGTTGATTTGCTTGTTCTGCAGCCAACTGCGTTTCCTTCCTTGAATCCAGAAATTAATTTTATATTCTGATAAGAAAGTCAGATGTAAGGATGCTAATAAGAGAAATTGAATTTCTCAAAATATGTCTAAAGGAAGTTGTTAGTGTAAGGCGATTCTGTAAGTAATAAAGTCTCCCTTGAACTTATGTTCAAAGCAAAACCCTCTGTGGTTTATGAGCAAAATCCTCTGTGGTTTATGTAAATATGATCGAAGACTTAAGGGACACGATTCAAACATTTTGTATATGAGCATACTTTTTCACTTTTTTACTAGATTCTCTTTCATTTCAGAGGCCATTAGATTATGTTCTGTCTGAATGTAAGTTTTAATTACCAGGCGTTTGATGTGTCCAATAAATAAGCTACTGTTTGGGTCGAAGCAACATTGTTGTGTGGGTTATGACTTTTGAAATCCATTTTAACTTTTCATCTGTTCCAGCCCATACTGTTACTTCCACCACATACACTATTAGGAAATCAGTACTGAGTTACGTAAATCCTTTAATTTAAGTTGCCTCTTGCACTCAGCTAGTGTGTAGCTAATGTGTCTGAACCTACCCATATGTTTTGGTAATTTTGACATCCCATTGAAATGTTCTTATTCAATGTTTCTTGACATCTTGTTGATCTTTTCTGCTTCGGGTTGACATTTTTGGACTTTTTATATGTCACTAATGAGTTTCCATGGTACGTACAGTGATGTTTCTCAAACGTTGGCATATTGTTTAACTGTCACCATCAACGGATCCATGAACATTGAAAACACTTGAAATTTTCAGTATTCTATTTTTGCATTATGCGTGTTTAAACTGTAATGGCTGGTAGACTGAACAGTATTAGGAAATACATCCTGTATGAAGGTGGCAATGAATTATGTAGAATCGTGTGTTTGTAGGCATCTGACACCATATACTGCTGTAAAAATAGCTGTAATAATCTAGGTGTATGTTCATATTTTGTGCCCATCATTTCGGGGCAAGAGCTTTTTACTATGGTCTGATAAATAATTTTGAATGGAAATGGATAAGAGCATGATAGTTTGTGGTATGTTACTGAACCCTGCAGGGTGTAAGAACTGATACTTGTGGAATAAGGAATTTGATAATCTTCCATTGTTCAAGGAGCTTTCATGTTCTTGGATGTAATGAATTGTGTAGATTGTTTTACTTATGTAAGGTATTCCCTTAAGGATGGACTGATTAGTTCATTTTGTTGTACTGCATCGTGGCAAGTGAGTGTTAAGCACCATTGTTTTACAAACGGACTGCTGGAATTTGGCTCTAAATTTCACATGTGCCTACCACTCCTTTGGTTCTTTCAACCTTTCTTCACGTACAAGGCCTAATTATGTACATTTATTAGTTCTTTCTCACAAAATTTTCTTTTTTCAATTTTTATATCTTATCTTATCATAAATCAATTTTGGTGTCCAGAGTTTATTATTTTACAAACCCCGCTGAAACACTCATTTGCTCCAGTCGCCATAATGCCTTTTCTTTTCTTCTTTTCAAGGTGAAAATCTCCCTGTGGCATGTGCAATGGTAGTTGCCTAATGTCTAGATTAAGATGTTTCTTTTTTGTTTACTTTACTGTAGCGCTGTGCGCACGAAGTAAAAAAGTGGATGAAACTGGGGGAGGGATGCTGAGATTCCCATTGATGCCGATTACCTTTTTTCTTTCTCCTTGTCCTCTTATTTGTTGACTCAATTTTTCCATTATTTGTTTTGCATTAAACTGTTTGAATGCTGGATTTTTTCTGTTCGAAGTTGTGGACCACTGGCCATATGGCTTGATCTAGCCATCTTTTTCTACCTCTTAAGTAATGTTATTTGTTTCCTTTTCTAACACTTACATGATATAGCATTATTGTAAACCAAAGACTGATGTGATTTGTTTCTGACTGCTTGACTCTTTGTTTTCATATCATTATTCTTCCTGAATATTTAATGCTCTTTGTTGGCGAGGTTGAAAGAGGAAGAAATGCATATTTTGGGGAGATTTTAGAGCCCGTAATATGTTGGCCAGCAAGTGAGCACAAATATTTACATCACAATGTCGAAGTTATCAATGGTGAACATCTCCCTATCAAGTTGAGAAGATTTTCTTAGGCTACATAGAGGTAGAGGCACTGCCTTCTCTTAATTTACCTTCTGTACTTCAACTATCTGACCGATAAATTCTCTGAAGACATGCGTCTCAAGCCTTTACACTCATTCCAGTTTTATGTATCTTTTTTTGGGAAAATTTTGAAGGATAAATGATTACAGTACAGTGATGGAAATGAGTGTGATCCAAATGACACAATTAGCTGTGTAGATTTCAATTTTCTTCCCTTAAATGTGTTTACACTATTTTTCTCAGGATTAATATGATTGTTTGGCCTCAACTTATGATAGTTCATGGTACTTTTTATAATTATAATAATAATAATAATGTACCTGGTCTGTTGCATATGTCATCCCCAGGGACCAGTCTGTAGTATCCAGCTACTGTTCCCTCTCCCTTGTAATTGCACTTTTTACTTTAATATATGTTAGGGCGTACACTTACGATCTTATTAACAGCTTTACCTTACTTGATTTTGCATGTTGATTATATTTGTCTTGCTTGTCATGTGATGTGAGTACCATGTACCATGTATTCTGTATTACGTAGCAATCATAGTTCCCTCAATTTATGTACTGTAATGACTATTAGTTTGTATTTTGTACTGACTGTAGCGGCGGGCTAAGCGGTACAACTTCATATGGTGTGCAATCATGAGCATGGATGTGCGTTCGCGCCATATGTAAAGCATGCTGGAACATGTGTGGTGCAATTACAGAAAGTTAATGTGTGTCTTGTTGTATTTCTTTGCATATTTGTTTGCATATATTCATTAAATTTTGTATGTGTATGCGGCTTATTAAAGTATTTAGTTTGCATGCATGTAGCACACATTGACATGATATTAAAAAAAAAGTTAAAAAAAAAGTTTACAATTTATAAGTAAATAGTTGTGGCAGTGCCACCAGCATATTCGTTGTGGCATATAAGCAGAACACCCATTTCTCTTGTGCTACGTTTGCTTTTGTGTGACAAGTTACTGAGGCCATTGTCATGTCATCAGGATGACATGTATCAAAGGCTCACATATTTTTGGGATCATTTCAGGTGTGGTTGCTGTTAGTTTTTCACCCCCCCCCCCCCCCCCCCCCCCCAACATCAAGAGCTAAAGCTAACTTATTACAGAATGTGTTTCTAAGGTGGCTATTAGTTATTAAAACATAGCTGCTTGTGTTCACCTGCTGATCCCACAGTGATACAGTGTGTTTCCTTCAAATCGAATACTTGATGCCATTTTTATTCATCCAAATTGTTTTAAATGTCTACTTATAAGAGCATTTGCGTACCAAGATAAATTGGGTAATTTTCTGCATTAATTCTTTTTGTACATTTTTGTGATACCCCCCTCTTTTTTTGTGTGTGTGATAAGTGTTGAATTGAAATTATAAGACTGATACTAAGGATTTGTCTGGTTTTCTCTGGAATGTAATGGAAATGCTTGTGTTACCAACAACAAACTGCAGCACACATCGAATTGCATGCTTGGTCTAAAACAAAATGATGGTACCCATAGTAATGTTAACTGTGAAAGCAGTAGTCAACGTAAGCTGGATTTTTTCTCCTCTCCTTTTAGCACATTTTCTTGCTCATCCAATAGATTCCTAAAGACTATGATTTCCAATGTATTGGATTATTTTGATCAAGGAAAATCAAACTGCATAGCAACCAATGAGAAACTTAATGCACTGATGTTTGGGAATAGTAATTATTACATAATTCATTGTTGTGATAAAAATACTACTGGATTTATTTCTACACAATGCAAAACTTACCTGTGTGTTCATTCCTGAGTGTATGTAACATTTATAAGCATTTTTTGTACCTCTTTTTTGATATAGCCTTGCCAATACTTTGTAGTAGCTGTTGTTAAAATTACTTGTGTGTTAACTTCTAACCTGACAGGAATCTTTTTGTTAAGAAATTATGTGGTATATTACTGTATGTATCATAGATTTCTGGAATTTGAAATTCAAGAGTTAAATTGTGTGCTGGATAACACTTGCATAGAAAATCAATCAAAACTAATTGATCATCAGTATATGTTCATAATTAAAACAGGAGATGTGCATATATGTGGTCATCAGTCTCAATTTCCTCAGTATATTGTCATAAAATAAAAGTAAATATGATTAAAAAACTAGCCCTTTCTTTTTCCACTCCATCTTTCATGCTGCATTTTTGGCTTTTTTTTTTATGAGGTATGAGGGAGAATAAATAAGGTTTTTCAGTCCACTATTATTAACCAACAGAGAAAGAAACATAATTTAGGTAAAGTTGAGCATAAAGCAAGCACCAGGTTAAGATAAATTATTTTCACAGAAAGGGTTCAATGTTGATTTCAACAGCTGAACATGGATTTGCCAAGTCAAACTGACTCAAGACTGAGGGATGAAGAACTCCCATTCGTCCAATAGGTATTCCTTTATGCAGAATTTCTGCACATCGCTGGGGGAAAAAGGCAGGATCTAAAGAAAAATGGGAGACAAAGACAGTTAAATATGTAGGTATATAACAATCATCATGACTTATTCATACAATTGCTTCAAAATGCATACCATCTACGGGCTTAAGCGAATAGCCATCCTTGGTGAAAGGTACTTCAAGTAATTGCATTGCTCTATCCAGCAAACCATGAACAACTTCAAAGCCTGGAGTCTTGTTGCAGTTCAAAGCACACAGTCTTCTCTCATTGCGGGCTCCGGTTTCTGGCAAACAAATAAAATAACTATGGTAGAAGAGAGAAAGAAAGCACAACATTGTTGTATAAAATACACAGTATAGTTAAAACATACCTGCTTTGGGATCTTTCAAAACAACATCAGAGATTTCAAACAACTTGAGAGGCAGAGGTAGGCGCTTGTTTGCTGACAGTGTTTTGAGTAATCCAGGCAGCAAGGTAGTCCTAGCAACTTGAAATTCCAGTGTTTTGGGATTTGAAATATGGACTGCAGGTACTTCATTAATAGGACGTCCAAGCTTAGATGAAATGTCATCCCTTGAGCAGAGAGCAAATGTAAGTGCTTCTGTAAAACCTGCCTGAGCAATTTCTTCTCGAAGTTGGTCAGATAGTTTGTTAATGGGAAGCTGCAATCAAAAATTTTACTTTAAAATGCTTTTATTAAAATAAAATATAAAAATTAAAATACAAGTCAATACAAATATTACCTGTTGGGCAATGGTGTTAGTGCGGGGTAGGGTCTTCTCAATGTTATTATATCCAAAAGCAATAGCTACATCTTCATAAATATCACAGGCATGGATGACATCATGTCTTGTGGGTGGGACACAAACTTCAAGTTCAGTTGAGTTTTTAACTGAGCTTTCAAGGCACATTTTTGACAATAGGTCGGCCATTTGTTCTGGAAGGAGCCTAGAACAGATAACAATCCCAAATGAATCGAAGATGCTTTAAAAAACACATTCATCAGGACTTCGTTCAGTTATCATCCTCACTTAGTTCCAATGTATGAATTGGCCTTTTCAACACAAATTGATTCCATGCGATATTCCAGGTCTGGATACACTGCTTCTTTCCCGTCATTCTGGACTACTTTGACTGATTCAACAGTAAAGGGTTCAGAACAATATTGACTGAACATGCAAACCAATGTGTCCAACACAACACGGGCCTAAAAAGGGAAAGAGAGATTGGATAAAACAAGCAGTCAAAACTTAGAAAGTAGGGTCCATATACAAATTGATAGATGGCACAAATATTTTTTAACGGAGAGACTACGTATCCGATTATTGAGGAGTACTCGCAATCATTACAGAAGAAAGTCAAGACTAGACAACTAATAAAATGATACATACCTTTGTCAAATCAGTAGCCGTGCATTCTATGAAAACGTTTTTGGTATCCAATGTGATACGAGAGTGATGTCCATTAATGATTGGTGGCAGTGACAAAACTGTGCCTTCAGCATCATAAATGACAGGATATACAGGGCTATCTTGGATAATTGGAAGGAATGCCTTCAACTGAGCATGGGTCTGAAAATTCAAATAAATATTAATTTTAATACACATACAAGACAATTTATGATAATTACCAGAATTTTTCAAATGAACATACAGAGTAGAGTTGCATAATTTGCGGAGCAGTCAGCTCAGCATCGTGATTAAGAGGTTTAAATTTTATATCTTCTGGCTGCTTTGCATCATACACAAAGGGCCCTTTAATGCTATCCAGATCATGTGTTCCAATTGCAACAAGAGAGCGCTTGCGACAAATATTGTGGTGCAGTTTGTCTTGCAGATCAATGAAATGAGCATAGCGGTCAGGATCAAACTTCAGGTTTCGAAGAATTGCAGCAACAGCATATGGTCGGATCAGGGATGTCTAGAGACAAAACAGGAAAGTTTTAGGAAGCGGTGCAGAAAACATTCAGTTGAACATTTAATAAATGTGAAACATACATCTGGAAGTACTGTCAGTTTAGTCTTTTCAAAGTCTTTCGGAGCGATTGCTTTAAATTTAGGTATCGGAATCCTGCGCAGAAACAATATAGATTAAGAATGGGAGAGAAAACACAGACTCGAAAGTAAAATGGGTAAAATGTATCACTCACTTTCTTTGGAAAACGGAAAGGCCCTGGACAAGTCCTTCCAGACAGAGTAGGTCATAGCGGTTTGCTGGGATGTCAATCCTGTACAAAACTTCCTCAGATGCACCAGCAGATTGATCAGCCCCTTGCTCTTTGCTGATCATCTGCTTTTCAGTAGTCTGCAACATTAAAAAAGACGCATGGTAAGGTGTTCGTTGCAACTTAATACTAAAACATACATAAAACAAAGAACACTCACCACTTCATCCAGTTCCAACCCATACTCGAAACAAACATGACTGAACTCCTCATCCGCTGAAACAGAAATGCATCCGTTGCAATTTGAAAACATCAGGGATGACGATCGATCCATTGATAATTTGCATTCAATGGGTATAGTGGTGATGCAATGCAAATGACATAAAGTAGCCGCATAGCAGTCGTCAATTTTAGCAATAACTGCTACATAAACAAAGCAACACGGTTGCAAAGGAATTCCATGAAAATGCGTCTCAAGTAATCTTCGATCCTCCGAAATTATTTATGAAAGTTAAACATATGTACATGGGTGTCAGAAAACTTAACCAAACACATGCAACTTAAATACTTATCATACTAAATCAAAAACGTGATTCTTACTATAACTTTTCCCGAGCGCTTTAAACAAGAGGTCTCGTTTTACTCCGATGGTAGGCATGTTTAAGTGCTTGAGGTATGTTTTTGAATGAAATAAATTAGGAAATCCACATCAGCAGGAGCGGCAGCCGCAAAACAGCAGACCGATCCTGGGGATAACGTGTTATAAATAATTCGCAGTGGGAGAACTATTTGCACGGCAAGAGTGTCGTGTAAATAACAAGAAACGCTACAACAACAAATCTTTAACCTCTAAGCAACCAACCATTCGGGCCATGGGTTCATACAACAGTGAAATGGAGCGATTACGCCAGCATTTTAAAAGTCACAGTAAAACGAGAGAGTATCAAGCACACTCTGCCAAAGTTCATTCAGTTGGATGGAGCTGCGATGGGCGAAGACTCGCCTCTGGCTCGTTTGATAAGTCGGTGTCAATCTTCACTTTAGACCGGGAGCGACTGGTAAGCCGGCAAACATATTTTTCTGTTGTAGTAACAGAGCAGTTTGCTTTCTCTGCATGAAAATTTTACATTCCTGATCAATCGGGAAAATATTTTTTTCACTTAATGATGACTGAAACATGTTGCGTTGATTCTGTGCAAGTGATGTGTTAACTGATTTTGCTGAGCAAATTAGCAACTAAAATTTATTTGTTCTGTGTAATTTATTTTAACCCATGATTCCAGATGAAAGATTTTACATTCCGAGGCCACAGTGGAAGTGTTGATCAATTATGTTGGCATGCTACAAGCCCAGACCTATTAGCCACCGCAAGTGGTGACAAAAGTGCACGAATTTGGGACGCCCGAACTCAAAAGTGTGCAGCAACTATAAACACTAAAGGTGCTTCATTTGTTTTTCTTAATGAACCTTTTGAGAGGTAACATTTCTGCTTTAATATGACTTAAATTTACTTTCTTTATTTGCTCAAACCCAGGAGAGAACATAAATATTACTTGGGCCCCAGATGGACAAACAATTGCTGTGGGAAATAAGGAAGACTTGGTCACATTCATTGATGCCCGCACCCACAAGGTTAAAAGGGAAAAGAAGTTTGAATTTGAAGTTAATGAAATATCATGGAACAAAAGAAGCGATTTGTTCTTCTTAACTAATGGACAAGGTTGCATACACATACTAGAGTAAGTTTGTCACAATTGAATGTAGAAACCAGGAGAACTGATTACATTCACCATTGCATTTTTTTACTATTTGGTTTCATTTTTCAGGTACCCTGATTTAGAATTACAGCATGTCCTTAAGGCTCATCCAGGAACATGTATATGTATTGAATTTGATCCCACTGGACGATACTTTGCAACAGGATCTGCAGATACACTGGTATCGCTGTGGGATGTCGAAGAACTTGCCTGTCTCCGAACTTTTTCAAGACTGGATTGGCCAGTCAGAACTATAAGTTTCAGCCACGATGGAAAGTTACTGGCATCTGCCTCAGAGGATTTAATGATTGACATTGGGGAAGTAGAAACGGGCCTCAAAGTAAGCATTTCACTTTCCACTTATTATGGGGTTGATTTGGAAACACACCCTATAAGCTCTGTGTTCCTTTTGTTTTAGGTTTGTGACATTCCTGTGGAAGCTGCCACATTTACTGTTGCTTGGCATCCTAGCCAATACCTTTTGGCTTATGCCTGCGATGACAAAGATTCATATGACCGGAAGCATGATGCAGGGATTCTCAAGGTGTATGGGTTTTCCTCTGAATAATACTTCCAAGCCTTTCTGAAATCCTCAGTTACTAATTTTTACTGTGGATCTGTTTTCATTTTTGTGTAGCTTCACAATAGGATTTTTTTTTCATTTCATCATTGTACTTCATTTGGTTCTAGTTGGATAAAGTATTTAATTCAAAGCCGTAAATGTTCATTAAAAAACAAATTTAGCTAGGCCCATGTTTCTGTTTGATACCTTCCCTCCCTCTCCATTTTGTCAATGAAGGCATTTGCAGCGTCAATGCCCAGTCCTCCACATGATACAGCTGAATCCCTGAATGCCTCTCGCACACTGGTAGGCATGTTGTTTGAGTTCCCGGCCACAAAAACATATCCTCCGGCTCTTAAAAATTTCCACATTAATTCTTTATCCCGAGATAGCAAGTGCTGAACATATCTAGAATAAAGAAATCAAATTTTCAAAAATTTGGAGCTGTAAGGAAGTACAGAAATCATTATAAAAAATGTTTACATTTTGTCTTCTTGATCACGAGAAAATGCACAATTTAGTGTGACTTTTCCTGCTTTCTGCAGAGCAAACCAATCCTTTGAAAAATGAAAATCTCCATCTTTTTTTCTGCATCCAAAATAAAGATGTAGAATTTCAGCAGATGCTGTGCCTTCTGAATTTCGTTGATGTATGTAACTACGGAATGGAGCTACACCTGTTCCAGGACCAATCATTACCACAGGTACATCCTAAAAATATTTAAAGAAAAATAATTATTCCAGAAATTATCTCAAGTTTCACTTCACTTCTGTGTCATGGAAAGTTGGTCTTCACCTGTTTTGAAGGGAAACGAAGAGAGCCCTTTTGTAACCACAAATTTACAGCATTTCCAGGCTTTAATGAAGCCAACCAATTGGAACAAAGTCCCAACCGTGGTTTAAGTAGCTTTGTTTTGTACTTCACTATAGCTACAAGAATATGCAATTCACCTTTGTGGGCCTGAAAAAAAAGGAGGAAATATCATGTAGGAACAACTCTACTTTTTGGAGCTCATATCTTCTAGTAGAGGAGATCCACACCTCTGGAGAGGATGCAATTGAAAAAGCTCGAGGCCTGATAGGGGTGAATAGTTCAAAGAGAAGTGGATAAGGAATGTGTGATGTAGCATGCGGAAAATCTGCCAGGAGCTCCAAAATTGTCCGTTTAGGGCGACTTAAATAGTCAAACATCATCTCCTGACCCTGTGGACTGGCCATTTCTTGTAACTTCTCCATCTCCAGTTCATTAGGTGTGACTTCAGCAAGCAGCTTCAGCATGTAGCGGCGGGGTATAGCCTGCATTTCATAACATAAATTTAAAAAAAAATAGGTAAAGAAAAAAGGCTTACTGATGAAAGAATGGATGTAACTCCACCAACTTACATTTAGGTCCCAGTAGTGTGTAACTAAGTTAATTAAGCTTTGAGGAGTTTTCAGTGGTTCAGGAACAACCATGTCTGGATCAATTTGTGAAACACTGAAAACTGTTTCTTGACATAATGTTGAGCCAGCAAGTTTTGCATCGTCTCCTGTCAGTAAGTCCATCAGCAGTTTTACATTATCAGGCAAATTTTGTGGCCTCACCATCAGCACATCACCAGGTTGATAGCTCATGTCTGATGGACAATCATTGAATGATATCAAACGAACATCCTACAAAAGTAAATTAGGATTGAAAGAAAGAATTTACAACTAATTTATTACTATAGGCACCTGAAAAGCTATTTCATAGCATATCAAGCTCAATTACAAAAATACTAGCCTGAAAATGTGTTGAACTGGTGGTGCGATCATTAGATTTTACTTTTGATTGGAATGCTTTAAACTTTTGAGGAATGGGAGGGGGTTTCAGCACTTCATTTGATTCCAATATTTCAATGCTCCACCTATGTACCACAAAGTTTCACAAACTTGACCACTACAGTATTGTATGTATGAATTATGAGTGAAACATGTACAAACCTGGGAGATATTTTGATATCAGGATTAACAGTCAACCCTGGTGGTAATGGAAGTTCTCTTAGGAAACAATCCCAAAGCTGTGAAATCCAAGGATCTATGACAGCATCAGCACCCAAATCATGCTGATCATCTGCCAAGCCCAAAGGCAGCAGGGATGTCCCGCCCAAATTCGAGAGGCGTCGGAAGAGCTTTTTAGCTGCGTAGTTGAACTTGGCATAAGAAGAATCACCCAATCCCAAAACAGCAAACCTGTAAGAACCAACACACATGTCAGAACCATGTGACTTGGAAGAGATTATCAAAATGTTTTAAGAGAATGTCACACAAACTTTAATGATCTGAGTGAATTTGTGGGTAAGTTTTTCCGCAAGAGAAATTTCCAAAACATCTTCATGTTATCGGGCTCTTCTCCTTGGCCAGTGGTGGAACACACGAACACAACATACTGTTCAGTGAGCAATTGAGTGATGGGATACTCATCCATTGCTTGGACAGGGCCTGATAGGTGGAATCTGAGATCATAATAACAATGCGTAAGAAGATAAACATTTTGGATGAGTTGGTAGTGCCCTACAGTGGACAGGAACAGAGACTCACAGTTTCGCTTCTCGCCAAATTCTTTCTGAAACCTCTTGGGCTGTTCCTGTTTGACTACCATAAAGAACTAAAATTCTTCTGCCAGCCATATTTCTTCTTTAAGAGTGTAAAATTTGAAGTCAGGGCGAAAAAGTATTTTCTACGAAACCACAAGAACGATGTAACCTGTTACACATGCTTCTGCATAGCCGGTCATCAACAAAATTGCAGTGACAACTGCTTTTTATTTCTTGTTTCCAAAATATTAAGAGTTTCAGAGAAAGCCATGAGAAAATGAACAATTTTAAAATCTATTACCAGCCAGAAATAGAAAATTAAAAACACTGACTAGCAGAAGACGATTACAAGTTGACCAACATTATGATGATGATGTACCGGTCAGTTCTACCAACAATAATCCTGGAAGCGTGGGAAATGTGTTTACAGCACGCGAAGAAGGCGGTAAAAGTGTGTCTGCTCAGCCGATCGTTGAGTCATTTGTGAGTTCCCTTTTATTCAGTGTCTTCAGAGCTAACAATCCCCAGTAATTTCAAGTTTGATCGTCTGATATTTTAACCACCTCGGGAAGACCTTTGCTGTATTATCTTGTGGTGATACTTGTCGCGAACGCTAAGTGCAATGATAACGCGTCCGTAGGCTCCCCCCCATTGAATCAACAGGACACAATTTGCCTGACAGATGAAGACTTTTCATCTGTTCTGGTCGGATGTGTTAACAAAGTCACCAGATATTGAATGTGCTCATCTTTTTCAAGCTGTGTGGTCCTTATTCAGTCGCATTTTGCTGAAGTATCCCCTTCATAACCTCACACTATCCTTGCCCACATTGTGGTTTATTGTTTTTTCCTTGTCTGTTTTCATTATCGCGTCTTTCCAGTGATGTTACTCTGACCTCGGCCACTTGAAATAAAAACATGACGAATCTGTACAGTCTGTCTGTTGATTGTCTCTTTTGAAATTGTTCTGATACGCAAAGGAATGTTTGGACAACGTGAAATATTCAGAAAAAGTGTAGACATGAGATTCTGACGATTACCTGTTGTCAATGTTCATTAAGTTTTATTAATTTACATCCGTAAATAAAAATAGCTGTTTTGTTACTTCCTACGGGACACTCCTACAGGAGTGTCTTAACCAGACATTGTTTAATTTGACCCTTTCAACTTGACATGTTTATGTAACCTTTTTTCTGTATTCTTTACAGGTTGAAATGGCTATTCATTTTTGTGTAAGGAGAAGATAAATGCACATTAATATTCCATAACTTTGTTTGCACATTTTCACTGCCCTCATTGTACTTACCTCTAAAAAATGGACCATTTGAAGTGAGTACTGTCCGTTCACATATTTTCAATCAAAATGATTCCATTTTACTCGGGCTGTTTATTAAGTTACTTTAACTGTTTCAGAATCTGGCTGAAAGGATTTATCCGCCTCTGCTTCGTCCTCGTCAATAATGCTTATACCATCCCAACTTACACAGTTTGGATACTACTTCTCACACCTCTCCGATTTCTTCATCCTGACCTGTTTTGGCGCATTGAAGGCTTTTTCTTCCATTGGCTGCTGGCCATGGTCAGCATGTGGAGCTGGTCTGCAGGCTATGATAGTAATACTCCATTTTTATATTTTGTTTCCTGTACCATACTGATTTGTATTATTTTTGTCATTTGTTCATCTAATTCTCTTTTTATACCAAACAGTTGTTGAGCTTGGTGATGACTATCGCCCTTGTCTGCACATGCCAGCTCTTTTGATTGCCAACCATCAATCAACTGCTGATGTCCCCATGCTGATGGCGGCATACAATGCAAAACCTAATATTTTACCCAATATTATGTGGATTATGGACCGCGCATTCAAGTTCACTAATTTTGGTGTGGTATCTACTCTCCATCAAGATTTCTTCCTTCGGGTAAACTTTATCTAATTCTGTAGAAGTAATGATCTTATTCTAGCACTATGTAAAATACATTTGCATTTATTTTTTGAAATTTCTATCTAACAGATTCAAAGAGGTAAAAGAGATGAGTGTCTGAAGGAATTAAGAGAGCACCTTCATAGTTCCTTCAGTGCTTTAGGGCGCCACTGGATGGTGCTGTTCCCCGAGGGTGGTTTTCTTCGTAAGAGGCGAGAAACAAGTCAAAGATATGCTCTCAAAAATAACTTGCCTGTACTGGAACATGTTTCTTTGCCAAGAACTGGTGCCATGGAGGCCATAGTAGAAGAGTTAGCAGTGCCATACCAACATAATAAACAGCAAGTCAGCAAGGGCAATAATGTCTCTCAACCCAGTTTACATAGTGGTATGTGTGTTTACTTTAATTATTGGGTATCTTCAAGTTTTCTGTTTAAACTTTAAGTGGCAATTAATTTTTCTCCTAACAGATCCAAAGCTGATAAATTGGGTGCTTGATGTTACTATAGCTTATCCAGAAGGGAAACCTCTGGATTTACCCACAATTATTACTGGATGGCGAGAACCTTGTAAGACATACTTATTTTACCGGTTATATAACATGGCAGATGTAAGTACCATATACAGTACTGTAAAACCTCCAGCGCTGTTCTTACCGAACTTGGTTAAATAAATTCTCTGTTTTTCTTGCAGGTTCCTAGAGAGCAAGAAGGCCTAACTAAGTGGCTGTTTGACCGTTGGGTTGAGAAAGAAGAAATGCTAAAGCAGTTTTATGAGACGGGCAGTTTTCCATCAGAAAAGTTTTCAACTCAACCCATGCCAACTCAAATTGTATCTCAAGACACATTGCGTTTTGTTATCCTTCACATTTTCTTCCTTGTCTCTAGCTATGTTCATTATTGCATGTTCTCATATGTCTTTCAGTTCTGGTAGCAAATTTTGAGTCAACTTAAAGCATTCAATGTTTAAAGTTGTATGGCTACAGTTTTTTTCAATAGGTGTACTGAAAAGCAGTAGTTATCTAAAATTATGATGTTACCCTTCAACCTTTTGCACGTGGTAAATGTTTATTGCCATTGTTTCCAAACACTTTACTACCTGTTTCTTATCAGATATGATCAATGAGAGATAATTCTGTGACCGGGGAAACATTTTTCTCGTTTCTATTATGCAAGCATGCATAGGCACCAATAATAAATCGATAAAATTTGTCTGTAGTAAAAATTCAGTTATCATTTCTTCTTTATCTCTAAAATAAATCTGTTGTGATAAACTGATACAGATTATTCACTTATAAGTTTGTTTAGGTGTTTGGATTATGTCAATGTAACAGTGATTATTGTGCTTTGACCTCTGGGTAATGTGTCGAATAACTTTAGTTTCATCTAAGTTAGAGTTAAAAGAGTACATACAAACTCTTGATTACTAGCCAAAGTTACAGCAAGGCAGCCGAACAAAATTGATGGTGTAGCAAGCTTTCCAGCACATCAGCTCTGCACAGCTCTGTTCTGAATGCCCATTACTCTTGCATGTTGTTTTTAAGAGTTGTATCTTCTTTTTAAGTTTCTATGAGGGTACTAGTGTTGTACATTTCATATTTATCACAAAAATAGGGCAGTGTACATGTCTCTCTCCTTCTACTTCTCACTGTCTAGCGATTTCTGAAGACCCACACACTTGGTGAGGGGTTGATGAATTGAGCTCATCACCGTCCATCTGCTTGTAACAGGACTGCTGGCTGTATAATGAATAATCATTTCACTCTTTTAATTATGTCTCATGATTCTGTTGTGTCCAGATGTAATCAATGTTTTTCTTTTAAAAAATTGTTCTATTGTTCTTTCTTGTCTGCTCTATCTATGGAATATTCAATTGTGTGGTAGAACTGAGGTCCATGACAAGCTTGCATAAGTGGGTGTAAATGAAAGCTCAAATCTAGTTCTATTGGTGAGATAAATCTTGTGTATTTTCCTGAGAGGACGAATTAAAATTTCTGTGAGAGTGCTTGTTCATTTCCATGATGACTTTTCAAAAGTAAATTGTTTCTTCAGATTTTATGTGGATAGTTTCCATTCAGAACTGATAAATACAGACTGAAATGTAATACAGTTAAAATTATCTTTTTAAAAATTTGCTTTGTTTTATATGATTTTGAAATGCACAAATTATGAGCAATAAGTACTGGAAATCGGTCTTACAGTTTTCAAATTAAAGTGTGCTTCCCTTCAATACTGGCACAAAATTGTCTGTTACAGCCTTGCTGCTTAATTCTTCTGTTTTAATTTTTTATTATTATAATTTTCTATGGCAAGTCATCGGAAAATAATTGTTGTTTGTGGTATGAGTCATCTTGAGCAGCTGTGTACAGAAACTTTGTGATATAATTCTTTACCTGTACTTTGTACGCATAACATGCTTAGGATAAACTCAAATGAATGCTTGGATTGTTTTCATCTTTGAGAGGACGTATCTAATTCACTAAAGTCAATTTCGTGGGGATGCTCCAACACACGGGTGTCTTTTCATTAAGTGGGCCTTATTTGAGAGCTTTGTATTGGTTACTTGAATGATTTTAATGACTGTGGTGAACCAATTGTGGTGCATGTTTGTTTGGGACTTCTCCCAGACTGCATAGGTAATATTTTTGAAAAGGTGTGAAAGTGTCTGAAGTTTGTGTGATGTATTGTAAGGTCTAGCATATCTTGTTCTGCATAAAATATATTTGTTATCTCTTGCCATTGCTATGTTAATCTTGACGGCAGTGTTAGTTATTGTTTAGTTGTCAGTAAAGTTAAAAGCTAATAACTGCAATGAAATTCCAGTACCCTAAGAGGAAGGGAACAATTCTTATTGAAGGGTAAAACTGTATTGGAGGTTTTAAAGGTCCGTTGATCCTTCATATTGATTGTTTTAAAAGTTACTGTCATAGGGTGCTAACAGCACAAGAGTTGGCAAGTAACATGGAAAGCAGGCAACCAAAGAACTTTGTTTTTAAAGGATGACACTCGTGTCGATGCATTATTGCCCTTTCTCGTTGCCATACTGGCCGGGTAGTGTCTATCAAGGTAATTTTTATACCACTGTTTCTCTTGTACAGGTAAAGAATATGTTAAAGGATAATCATAGATATGATGATCAGAATGTCAGAAATTTTTTTAACAAACAAGTAACTATTGTCCAATGCCCATTTCTGTTCTATGGGTAGCTCATTTTATTTGTAGACAGTGAAATATTTTATCTGTTTAAATATACAGCAAAAATGTCTCTTATATTAAACTGTACCATCTACTTCTTAGAATTTTTCAGTACACAAATTAATTTTGGCGTTGTAGTGTACAGCGTAGTGTACATTTGCGTTACAGTATAGGACTAGATCTTTGTATAACTTTTTTGTCATAATTTAACTTACAAGGAACATTACACATTACACTGTTAGTATACTCACTAAGGAATAATTTAACTTTGCTCTGAACCAGCATTAAGTTTGGAACTGTCTCATGAGTCCTGTTACATTTCCACTTTTCGTTTCTAGATTTCTCTTCTTTTCCTTTAATCTCCTCTTTTCTTTGAAAAAGAAAGCAAAATTTTTAATTTGAACTTATGAAAAATGCTTCCGAATGTCTTTCCAAAGCAATGTTGTCTATTGTGTGTGGAGTTTTACTCTGAGTGTTCATGTAATGATGTTGGTGGTATTCCTGGTATGTACCTGTTACCATAAGCAGTATTTTCCTCGCTTTCGCCTCAATTTCAGAAACATGCTATATGTATGTCAATAGGAAACTACCTTGTTTTCTTTAATTACCAGGTGTGAAAAGATAGATCAGGTGCTCGTAAAGTTGAAAACATGGTGAAACCATTTTTTTTCTTTTAGTGTATAGAGGGTTTTATTTTCATGAGAATTAATCGTATGCCTTGATAGCTTCTTTACTTAGCTTCCATTTGTTTATGATAACTTATTTTGATGCATCAAAGTAGTCATAGGTGTAGTACTGTATGCTCACAGTGTCTTCAAGACACAGCGTGCAGCTTTTCAGTGTATTACCCTTTTCCCCCCTTTTTCTTTGTTTGTTTGTTGTTTTCTGTTTTGTTACAAAATCTGATGTGCTCTTCCGTCTGTCTTTTGTTTGATTAACCTTTTTTACCATATCCTATCATTAAAAAATGTTGTAGGGTTTGCACAGATGTACAGAACCTCACATCATTTGATTCAAACCATGATACCATTTTTAAAGTACCACTCTTTCCCATGTTTACTCACTCCATGTTGCATGATATTGAATTGATTGTGGTTATAATTTCATTCTACTTGAACATTTCCAGAGTGGGAATAGCATCAGTAAGGATCTTCCTAGTTTTCAATTTCATGTTCATTCCCTAATTGTCCTGTATCATACCCTCCCCCTTTTCCTAGATAAATCTTCTTTAGTTTTACTATGCAATGCACAAATATTTCTCATCTTAGACTCCTCTTAGAATAGTTGATCATTGAAAGAGGCAAATAATGTTGACACACTTTTGGTAGTGCCCTTGTTGTTTTGGTGATCGTGTTAATGGAGTGGATGTTATAATTTTGATCTTCTCAAAACAAGATCAGTCAAGTGTGTCATGTGTGTCTTTTATCATGTAAACTTTGCAGTACAAGGTTTGTGAAATCAGGAACTGAATTGTCAGACCTGCTGTACTTTGGAGGAAGGGACCTTTTCATGATCTGGTTGCATTCTGATTTCATTTGATATCTTTCTATTAGATCACTGCTTCCTTTCATGTCTTTCTTTCTGCAGTCAAGTTAGAAAAGAGTGTATTTTCTTGTAATTAAGTTTTCTTAACTCCAGTGCTGCACAATTTTTGTAAAAATTACTGTGACTATCATGTGTATAAATTATAATTGCCTACAATGGTTTTGAAACGCCTTAATTTAAAGTAGTGCCTTATTTTAAAAATAACAAATCGTTTCAAAATCAAAAATGTTTTATCATTAAATTTTCATTGTTGTGCTCCTTGTAACTTGACCTTATTTTGACCATAGATTAGTTCACTGAGTATTACAAGTTAGGTTTCTGCGATTCTGAATTTAGCCAAACTCCCACCGATCTATTTTTCTCTTCTTTCCGCTAAATAGTACCAAAACAAAAGTGAAGTCTTGTGATATTTGTCAAGAAAGACAAAATTTGCCTCAAAAATATCAGAGTATGAGAAGTCACATTCATCCTCTCTCTCTCTCTTCCTTTTGAACTAGTATTTTATTTTCTGTGAGATTTTAATGTGGTCTTGATTTATGTACCTAGTGTAAAATTTAGTATTGGTATTGTTCTTTCTCATCTTGATTGTTAATATGTTTGTCTTCAGATTTATCCTTTATTTCCATGAAATCAATTTAAGGTCTTGAAAGATACAAGACAGTGTGACAGTGAATTTTGTGGCTTCTCTGAGGTTCACTGCTCATAAAGAGTCTGGTGAAGTCAAAGCATAAGCTCCGTTCATTCTACTATGATCTGTAGATCTTCTGAGGGAAACCTTAACAAACTATCTCCTCTCAGTCTAGACTGTTAGGGTCCTACTGGTAAAGTGATCTGTGATCTAAGTTGTCCAACTGAAGTGATTCATTGTTATCACTTTGTACAGCTGAATCCAACTGACCTTTTCCGTGCTCTAATCAAGCCTAAATAAATATCAGTACAGAACTGAGCTGGAACTGATTGTGAATAAGGATTAGGTTATCTTCTTTAGGATTTGTTGAAATGCTTTATGTGGTAATAAATGCTTGTTCAGTTAACTGTCCGACAGAACATAGCACAGTAGTTCAAATGGCCTAACTAACCTTGTAAAAATGGTTTGGTGGTGCATGAGGTATATGCTTGATCACCGCAAGTCACAAAGCCTTTAAGGATAATTTTGACAGAATCATTGTGTTGTTTTCTCTTTTGTTTTGTGTGAGAAGTTAGCAATGACTACTTTGTAACTTGAATTTTTGAATAAACAGGCACGTGCTATATATGAATCTTATCTTTTATAATCCTGCTACCGTCTTCATCCACCAGAATAAAAGGTTGTGAAAATGAACATTACTCAATTTTAAATTATTTATTTACAACTAAGTTTAGAAATAGGCTAAATTTACAATATGCATGGTGATGCAATTAATCACCCCCATTACATTTCATCCATCATATCACATTTAGTCTTATCTTAAAGTACACTTTACATAATTAAAAAACTATCATGATAAATAACACAAGAAACATGTACCATCCATCACTATCACAAACAGTCCCAGTCCCCCAATAATGGTCAAATAATTAAAACCAAATTTGGAGCCAAATTTCGTCTAGCCTTGTGCATGAATTGCGTGACATTTCAAATATCGTCAATTTCAAAGTTGCAGACCAAAGGAATAGATACAAGCTGAATAGTAGGGAAAAAAAGATCTGATTGACAAAACAGTCAGTCATAGAAAAATAAAAAGTGAAGATATAGTAATTATGGAAGTTATAACTTCTGGTCACAGAAGGGAAAGAAGAGCCAGTCATTACTTGTAAGGATGTGAAATTTCAGTACTCAGTGTATGGTAGTTCACCCTACCTAGAAAATAAATTATAAAAGGCATATGACACATGGATAATTCACTTATGCTGTTAAGCCCTGTGTTTTGCTGAACACTACAAAATGAAATGTATAAAATGACAAAATGACAACAATGCAAGATTGAAAAATACATCTCGCCTCAGGAAAGTGAAAGATGAAAATTTCAATTAAGCATTATTCTATACACTAATGAAATCCTATACATGATCAATGGATGACAAAATGACATGTTCATTATCTCGTAAAGTATGTCATTTATGTGCTGTTTTTCAAAGTAAAAGAAAGTAATGTCACATTTTTAAACGAAAATAAAAGCACAAATACTAGTTCCGATACCCAAATTAAGTGTCAAAAGCCTCATATTGAGTCAATGGACAACATTGTGAATGTATATGGCGAATTAGCCAGGTGAATTCCCTGGTTTTCTTTGGTGTTGACTGGATGACTTTCTATAACGCATTACAGCCTGATGGACTCCACATTTGCAGAAACAGAGTTTACTACACCATTGGCTGGTACCTGGACTTGCATTGGCACTTCTTCTTTCTTGTGTTTCTTCGGCATCAGGAACATGGTTCCAAAGAACATAATGGAGCCTGAAAATGAGGAAAGGAGGGATCAGCACTTAGTTCCATACATCAAGGCAAAATTTCCGCCCATCAATTTTGATTTTAAAAAATTTCTTGCTTATTAACTTACTGATGAATTGGAATCCTACGTAGAAGATGTATAAAGCCTCACGGTATCCCAGCGACTTGCTAACTGGTTCAACCAGCACTGGGAGGTTTCCACCGATGTTGTTCATGACGAACAAGAACACTCCCACAGTGGTGGATCGCACGGACATGGGCACAACTTCGACAAGAGTGGCAAACAGAATTCCAAACCACATTTCAGCTGAAAAGGCAATGGAGAGCACTTTAGTATCGCCGGGTTTATTGTTTCACTACGGTGTCCAAAGACAGTTCCAAACACTCACCGAATAGGTAGGCAATACCAAGGGTGATCATGGCCCACAGTGGGTCGAAGTACACGCTTCCAAAGGCAAAGGGGGTGGCGATGAGCTGCAACAAGACATAAGCAAACCCAGTCAGATGAGGACAGGCCTGCCTTTATATCCCAGGGCCCAGGATCCCACAACGGCCGCGGACCTTGGGCTTGGCTTGGGCTTGGCCTTGGGCTTGGCCTGGCCAGGACTTGGCTTGGCTTACCTGGCTGAGGGCGAGGACGAGCAGGCGTCCGCGGACGCCCATGTACAAGACGAAGCGATCCGAGATGACGCCGCCGAGCATGACGCCGATGCTGCCCACCAAGCAGGTCACGATGAACAGGGACCAGCCTAGGTCCACGCCGGGGAAGTACTGGTTGTAGTACAGGTCGCAGTTGTAGGCGAAGCAGATGCCGCCGCAGTGCCTGACGGAGGCCGCGAGGCACAGCAGCACCACGCGCGGCTCCAGCAGCACCTTCCAGGCGCTGTCCACCTGCTTCTCGGGGTGGTTCTTCTCCACGTCCAGCACGGCCAGCTTGCGGTCCATGGTCGCGTCGTCCGCGTCCTTGTGCTTCTCCTCGCCGATCATGGTGCGCTCCGGCTCGCGCAGCGTCACGCCCGTCAGGACGGCCACCACCACGGCCAAGATGCCCGTCATGTAGTAGCACGCGCGCCAGCCCTGGACGAAGACAAGCAGATCGGGATCAATGAGGGTCGGGCACCTTACAAGCAGTCAAGTCTGTGCCACTGCACCGCCACCGCAGGGCAAGGCCTTACCAGGTTGAAGAGGTTCATGGGGGTGACGTAGCGGCCCACGGGGAAGGCCAGGCCGTAACCGCCGAAAATGCCCCAGTTGAAGATGGACATGACGAGGCCTCGGTCCTTCTCAGGGAAGATGTCGGACAGCAGGCCCGTGCTGAGCGGGTTGCAGGCAGCCTCGCCCGCCGCCAGCACCATCCTCATGAGGATGAGCATCCAGTACGCCTTGGCCGCGCCCGAGCCCAGCACCGACACGGCGTAGATGAGCGTGGCGATGCACAGCATGCGCACCCTGGACAGGAAAGGCATCGGTTACCCGGGGGAAACGACCCTTGAAACGACACTCTGAGGGGGATTTGAACCCACGACTCCAATGACTGTCACGCGCGTCAAATCCGACGCCCGCAAAATACCGGTAGCGCGTGTGACGAAGCAGTAAGTGGCGCAGTCGCGGTCGAGGGCGTTTTGTTTCAGTTTTTGCTTTTGATTTCGTTTTTTTGCTATGGGGATCCTCCACGTACCTGTTGAACCTGTCGGCGGCGATGCCGAAGAAGACGCCCACGATGGTGTAGACAGCGATGAAAGTGGGGCCGGCCATCAACTGGTAGTCGTAGCCCAGGCCGTTGCGGTCCCACTCGCAGTGTGTCTCCTCCACGCATCTGTCAACGAAGGACGAGCATTGTTGAAGTGTTGGTGTCGGCGCCGCTCGGCAGTCTAGCGCCTGCCAGGTAGGCCGCCCGCCCGAGCCCCAACGCGTCGGGGTCAGGATGGTGGCCTACCGTACCCCTGTCGAGCTCGCCGGGGCCTTTGGCGGCTGTGAGAAGCTCAAGCATTGCTCCCGCTCTGGTACTTACGTTTCTTGTGTCTTGAGGGTGTCGCAAATGGTGATGTTGGGCACGCTGTAGTGTGTCACATTGATAAACTGGCAGGCGAAGTCGCCGTAGCCGAGCTCCCTGGAGGTGGCTTTGCTTGTTACTCCTGGAACAGAGGACCGCGCCGAAACGGCGTCAAGCTCGGCGTCGAGGAAACGACCCGGACGGGGAAACGAAGACTAGGACTAGCCAATCAGGCTGACGGACCCGACGGACGGTGACTCACCGATGAGGAAGTGTCCCAGCTCGGCCAGGAGGTAGCCCAGCGTCAGGATGACCAGCACGTACCACTTGTACAGCCACTTGAACTGCTCCAGCTTGGGGAACAGCATGGCGGCGGCCGGGGAAGACCTGGGACAGACAAGCATCAAGTTTAGCGCGCGGGGTATTGACGCGCCAGTGCCGACGGCGGACACGTGCAGGCGCGGCGAGCGAGTCGCGAGGAGTAGAGCGTGGAGTAGCGACGCAGCGCAGTGGACAATGCAAGGGCAGTACGGGCAGTACCGGCAGTACACGGAGTACCTGGCAGCCGGGCCGGACCTGTACTACTGCACTCGCCTTGCCTCACCTTGCCCCATCTAGATTACTCTCAAGTCCGCGGATCCTCCATTCGGCGAGGCGGAGGCGGGCATCTGGGCAGTGTGCAGTGGAGCTGCTGGCTAGCCTGCGCACCTGTCCGGAGACACTGCACTGGACACCACTCGAGCCACACAACCGACTTGGGCCGCCTCTCTCAGGCGGTTCGTTGGTACCAACGACTCGGGGTCCTTTCGGCTCGGCACGGCCTACGTAAAGCACCGGCTGCGCCATTGCTGCGCGCTGCAGCGACCGGATAGGACTCCCAAGCCCAAGGCCCCTCGCCATCACCATCACGCACGCATCGCAAGTGCGCTCATCTTCGAAGGCAAAACAAAAAATTTGAAACTTGAGGTTCTTTCAGGTGCTTGAACCCGGTGGTACAAAACAGCAATTTACGCGCACGCTGGCACAGCATATTCAAGCAGGTCATTAATTCATCGCAGCGCAGAGCCGCGGGGCCTGTCTGCCGCCTGCCGCCCGGAGCAGAAAGAGTCCGGAGTCTCTCTCGCATCAGCACGAGAGAGACAGGGCGACGAGGCCACGGTTCGGAGCCAGCCCGCAGCGCCTGGAGCACGCCTGGAGCACGCCTGGAGCAGCGCCTGGAGCCCGGAGGAGGGACGTCCTTCCCACCCACAGGCTGAGCCTGGCAGGCTGGCAGGCTCGCCTCCTTCCGGGCTGGCGGCCGCTGGCGGCTGCAGGCTGATTCCGAGGGTACGGCGGGCCTCAGTCAAGTCGGCGCCTCTGTCGCACCGCACGGGGCGCGCGGCCCGTGAGTGAGAGAGAGGCACGCGGAATCAGCCTGCTGGCTGGACCTACACGTGCGCGGGGACGCGGGGACGCGGGGACGCGGGGACGCGCCGGCGGGAGGAGCCACTCCAAGCCAAATCACCACGCATCGGCGCATCGCATCGGCGAGCATGAGCGCCGAGGCGCCGGGCGGGCGGCTAGACGCTTGGCGAGGCGCTCGCCGACAACAAAGGATCTGCTCGCCGGCACGGCGGCACAGCCCACAGCCTCGCGGCGGGCCGGCGAAAAAGTTTGCAGCCGGATGTAATATAAATAAAACCTGGAATGGTGGCGCGAGAGGGCGGGACGTTGTCGGCGAGGTGCATCACTGCCTCCATCGCGGTGGGTGTACCTTCGCGTAGTCAATTACTTGGCCCCATCAGCCAGAACGCAATCCTTGCAGTGGGAAACTCTTTTATTCCCTGTTTTTATTGCTTTCGTGGAAAATGCGTTGGCGGGGCGCTGCTTGCGTGCGCGTGTGTGTTTATGTGTGAGTGTGTGTGTGTGTGTGTGCGTGACAGCGCGGTCACGGAGAAGTACCGGCGGGGAATCCCTTGCCAATCGGGGACACGCCCCACTGGTACCGCGACTGCCGCGTGACAAGACAGGCCGACAGGTCCGGGCAGCCGCACGGCCTGGAAGCTGGGGGGGGGGGGGGGGGGGGGGGCTGCCAGACTGCTACAATCCGATGTCGCACAGCGTTTCGTCGCTGTCTCCCTCGCACCAGCGCGCCACCACGAGTAAGAGAGAGACCGCGTGACGTCAGCGACGTGAGGAATCAGTCGGCGGTGGTGGCATGTTCCATCCAGTGATTGTCCATCACTATCAGTGACAATGGAACTGACCCGTCGCTACTCCACGCGACAGTCCCCGATAACCTCATGGGCTGGCTGGGCTGGGCGCTGTGCCCTATCTCCTCCATGACTGATGGGATAGCGCTCGCTGCCGAGCGCGTTGAGGTCTCCGGGGCCCCTCGCTTTGATCGGCTCGGTCGGGGGCTTGGGGGCCTCCAGGAGGAGGAGGCCGGCCGGGGCTGCCCCAGAGGAGGCCGGCACGCAAACGGCAATGCGTCGCAATGCGTTCGCCTTCTCGCCGGCAGCCTCAGCGGCCTCAGCGGCCCCAGCGGCCAGCACGGGCATTTCGGACGACGGACGACGCAACGCGTGGAATCCTCGCCGGTCGGTCCGTCGGTCCCTTGTCATCCGGAACCGGTCTGACGGCTCGCGTCTCGCGTCAGAGCGCTGGCCTGCCGCCTGCCGGCTCGGACGCTCCGACGCCAAAACGGCCCAATCAGACCAAATCTCTTCCAAGTTCCAGGCAAACGGGGCGGTGCCTGGAGATCCCCAGCCCCGCCACTTTTGCCGCTCCCTCTGCCCCCATTTTCCTCCCCGCGTCGCACTCGCTCCGAGTTTGCATGTGTTGCTGCTACTCGGGTGCGGTGCCGAGTCGTGTTCGGGGAAGTTCCGGGACAACGAACCGCGTGGCCGCGATCTGCCAATACACTGCGATTGCGGACAGGGCTGTTTCTCTCTCGCACCCCAACGGGCCGAGCGCGAGAGAGACAGCGACGACGCGCTGTTCGGACTCAGCCCGCTGCATGCTGCATGGGTGCGGGGCTGTAACGGTACCGCTGGGCCACGGCGGGGCCTCGGAGGGGCCCAGCCCGGCCCAGCCCTAGCGCTAACAGTTCGCCGGATCGCGCTGCACGCTGCACCGGTACGCGGACCCGCGGCCCGGCAGGCCGATCCCAACGCTTCGCCGCTGTCTCCCTCGCGCCCCTACGGCCCTACGGTGCGCCCCGTGAGCGCGAGAGAGACAGAGAGACGGTGTTCGCAACCAGCCCGCAGAGACTTCCAGAGACGTGCACGCCGTCGACACGCGCAGCACCGCGGCACCGCGTACCCGCACTCGCGCCAAGGGCAACCAGTGCGGCGGCACGGCCAGCTTGATGAAGCACTGATAGAGCGGTTAATAACGTCAAGCAGGCAAAGAAAGTTATGAGCAGGCCGGTAATGCCATGCCGTCCAGTCGGTACCGCCGGTACCGTAGGCATTGTGATCGCCAATCGGGAATCAGGGCACTTAGCGGGCTGACTGCGAGGCGCGGCACGCACAGACTCATTCCGAGGGTCGCTCTGTCCCTCTCGCACTCGTGGGGCGCGGCGAATGGGTGCGAGAGAGACAGCGCGACTCTCGGAACCAGTGCGGTGCGCGAGTCCCACGGCGGGGCGGCTCTTGAAGGCGGCGCACGGCACGGCGGCGCGCTGGCGGCGTGCAGTATTGTTTGGAAGAAAGCCCAGTATGTGGCCGTCAGCCTCGGCGGCTCGGCGGCCGGAACGACGCGGCGACACGATGCCAACAGCGATATCTATCCGAATCAACGGCGTCCGCGGCGTGCGCCCAGAAGGCCGTGCGCCGCCACTGCAAGCCGCGCGCGCCGCCGCAACATTTTATGCAATTATTGTTTTTTTTGGCCGTCAGCGGATACACATCGCTCGCATCGGCGGGATTGCGTTTCGATAGAACACGGCCCGTATCAGTTCCCCCTTTCACCGCACGTCACCAATGCCAAGCTGCTCACGCGCGTCGCCAGCCTAGCCAGCCTAGCCGCCAGCCGACCGGACCTACCACCCGGACGGCGGCGGCGGCGGCGGCCCGGCGGCCACGCAGAGGCACTCGGTGGCCTTTGCTCGCCTTTGCGAGATTGAAAGCAACTCTCGCCGGTCCCGCCTCGCCCGCCTTGCGTCTAGCCCGGCGCCGCCACGCCGCCTTGCCGCTTTGCAGTCTAATGAATGGAAATGTTCCCCGGCCAAATCGGCCGATCGGGATTGGCAGAGGAGTGCCGGCTCATCGGCCAATCGACGAGGAAGCCACTTCATTTTCCGGGCAATTATTAATGCCGTGGCCAGGGGCTGCAGGCCGACCGACGACGCGGCAAGGACGGCCCGGCGACGGAGGCGTCGGCGGATCCAGATTTATGCAGTGCAGCTGCGAGTCTGCGAGGCGGGGCCGGCAGTCTGTCTCCCTCGCACCGGCACGCGACGCCCCGCGAGTGCGAGCGAGACAGGGCGACGAAAGCACTGTCGTAGTTCAGAGTGAGCCTGCTGACAACTAGCCGCGAGATCTCTAGTTCCGGGGACGCGGCTCCGCGGCTGCGCTCCGCTCGGCGCAATCCATTTGCCTTTGCCACCAGGAAAACGGCGGCGAGTCGGCGGCCCGGCCCACGGCTGGCGTCTGGAATCTAGATAGGAAAAAAGGACGCGACAGTCGAGGCGGCGTAGAGCACGCCGGCGACGGGTCCCGGAAGACGCCGGGCCGCGCCGAGCCGAACCAGCGGCTAGGTTAAGCTAGGTCAGGCCGGGCGGAGCGTTCCAAACACCGCGAGTCATGCCCGGGGCCAGCGGCAAGGTGAAGCCGAGCCGCCAGCGCGGGGCACCGCACCACACGCACTCTGTCTCTCTCGCCCTCTCGAGGGGCGCGCCCCGAAAGTATAGGGGTGCGAGCGAAACGGAGAGACCAAAACACCGGTCGGAATCAGCCGGCTGCTGTGTCACGCCGTCGGGACTCGAGTCCAACGCACCACCGCGGAAAAGCACCGCCGACATTGTGGCAAGGTGGTCATCAACAACGGGGGGCAACGACGGGGGCAAGCTGGACGCGCAAGACGACATAACGCAACGGGGGGCTCGGCTATCGCCAGCCACACCCCCGGCGACAGCGACAGCGCCCCGCGGGCATAGCGGCACGCCCAACACTCACACACTGGCAGCCTGCCGACGACCAACCACGCCTCACCACAAGAAAAATGCAAAAGATGCACTGTCACCGCCACCCAGGCAGCGCGTGCGCGGCGTTCACTCTAGTGGTGTTGTTTTCCGCGCGGCTCGCCGCCAAGAAAGGCGTTTCCAGTGTGGCGACGAGGGGAATCGGAAACTATTTCGGCCGGCGTGAGAATCCGCCCGCGCTTGAAATTCAATCCCCGGGGCG